TTGTGAATCCATTACCTATTAATATTACAAGTCTCAATAGGTCTTGTTTTTTCTTTAGTTAACCCTAAAATGCATCACTTTAAAAAAAATAATTTAAAATAATACTTTTAGATTAATTGATTTAAATATTATCTTCCTAATATTTAAACCATGATATTATAATTTATAATGTAATTTGTAACTGTAATGTGTCCAATCAAGGTTTAATTACCTACTAGAAGTAAAACATATATTTTAAAATGTATTAATGTATTATAAAAATAAATGTTAATGAATTTTGACTTTCAAATGATTAGATACAACTAAATATTATACAGTCGAGTCTTGATATTTCGAATCTCAAATAAAATAAAAATAATATCGACTTCTGTATTTTCTATATAATAAAATATATAAAAAGTAAAAACCCATCTAGGGGGCAAGGAAGAAATTCGAGTTATCGAGACTAAACTGTATCATTTAAAATGTTAGGAGACAAAAAATTATTTTTAGAAAACAAACAAAAAATAATCAGGTGCACATTGAAACATTATTAACTTATCAATATTTTTACAATCATCATTTGGCTGTAAAATACACACTAGTATTTTTAATCTATGGTTTAAGTTAACATTTTTGGATCAATAAGAAACTTCAAAGAATTTCATAGACCAATTCTAGAAATTTAAAATTGAACAGCGATTGTACATTGTACTTTTAGAAAGGTTATTTTTAAAAGTTCCTGTAACAACTATACCATAAAATAAAAAATAAATAAAAATAAATATTGAAGAAATGAAACAAGCATTCGTTTGAACAATTTCTTGATTTCATTAATAAAATATAATGATTTGAAAAAGAAGTGATTGGTTATATTATAAAAAAAATTCAGTTATTTTGGTTGTAAATATTCTTAATTTTGATCGACTGAATATAGTGACTATTTCTGGATATTAAGTAACTTTTGTAACTTAAAACTATTGGAAATTGTTAAATAAATTCCTACAATATTAAAAATCATTATATATAATTTTATAATAATAATATTATGATATTATTTTTATTAACTTAATATAAGTCAATACCACCTACCGTAAGACGAATCGAATGGGTTTGTGGTTTTAATATCATACAATTAGTCTAAATATTTTGAAAATGTCCTTGTTTATAGAATGTTAGAATGTTTCAAGTGTCTATGATTTTTAAATTTTAACAAAATAACAAAAATCAGTCGATGAGAAATCATCAATATACCCACGATTTCATCAAAATGTGCACTTCAAATACTCATAAAATTAATGTGGTTTTACGCTAAACTTTTTTTCCAATTCCAGTAAAAATAATTTATGAGAAATATTGTATTGAATTTTTTAGCCTAAGGTATTAAAATTAAAACAGTTTATAAATTTTTAATTACAAAATAATATACTTTCCATGAATTGTTGATAATTTTATTTGGTGTATGAACAACTTTTAAAGTAGGTATTAAAAAAAAAAAAAAAAACAAAAATCAAAAATCAAAAATATCTATAAATTGTTCAAAAAGCGTATGGATATATTTAAAATCTTATCATTTACAGAAAATACCAAAACTAACATTTTATCGTTTTTAAAATAAATTTCATCATAAAAATAATATCGATTTTGTTGAAAACTGGTTTTGCGGAAAATTCCTGTTTATTCTTAGTTTGTTTTTTGTTTTTCCCGACGCTTTTGAAAAGTCCTGCATGAGTTTTTAATTTTGACCTCTCAAAAGTACCAACTAGATTTAATTTTATATTAAAAACCATCCTCAAAGTTAAAAATCGAAGTTCCTTTTCGTGTATTTATACTCACTAAAAAACATACATTAAATTATAATCAATCGCTCCGTTCAGAATCTAAAATAAATTATACAATACTTTTTCCAAAAAAAAAAACTGCTTACTTAACGAATTATAACTATATCCACAACTGAGATTTGTGGTGTAAAATTAAATATAACATTTAAAAACAATTCTAAATCCTACATTCTTAAGAAGTGAAATTTGGTTTATAATCAATAACTAAGGATTATCTATATATTTTTTTAGAGTGCTGAGTTTTTGATAATACTAAATAATGATTCGTTAAATAATACAAATGTAAAGTCTTAATTAATAGATATTTAAAATATTTTAATAAAATATTGCTCACGTTTCAAAATATTTAACAGTACGATGTCACAGGTATATAAGAAGCGTATAGGAGTTTTATTTATAAATATTAAATATATTGTGACGTCCACTTTGAAAATGTCAAATTGTTTGTAAATTGTTTCTATTATGAAATGTTATTAAAGGTTTTCGGAAAATGTTAAAAGAATGTCTTCCATATTTCATGATCGACCGATGTCAGCTCTGAATACGGCGGTATATTGGGTGGAATACGTAATCAGAAATAAAGGAGCTCATCATTTACGTTCTGCAGCAGTGGATTTAACGTGGTACCAATATTATTTATTAGACGTTATTGCATTTCTTATTATAATTTTAATGTTTTTTATTTGTATTTTCTATTTTATTACTAAAAGGATAATGAGATTTAATATGTTCACTAAACAGAAAACAGATTAACGTTTAGTGAAATTGTAAAATATTTGTCTTACATTATTTCATAATATTATAAATTATAATACCTATATCGTCACTTGTTTATAACGTCAACAATACCATAAACAATAATAGTTATAACTTTACTTAAAAGGCAATAGTTTTATTTTTACGATAACTATGTACTATCTACCTATTAATTAATTTTATATTAAATATAATATGAAATAGACTAACATGTAACGTATACAATAAAATTTCAAGTTTCAATTGATAGTTTGTTAATATATTTATGTTAATTAAAATAGAATTTGTTGATAATAATTTACTCTCAAAAACGATTACATACAAAAATATAAATATTGTAATCTATATTCGAACATTCCGGCCATATGCACACCTTTAAATAGTTAAGTACCTAATTTCTAATATTATTATATTCGTATTTTTACAAAGAAACCCAGTTTCCCTTCATATTCTCCAATACGGTCATCGATGCTATAAACTAACTGTAATCGGCCGAGCATATCTTACATTACTCACAAAAAATTAAAATTGTAAAACTACCATATTGTAACTATAAATTTTAAAAAAATGTCTGAAAAACAAAATATTATTGAGAATCAAACTATATTAAGACTTATATAAGTTATAAAGTTATAACATATAAGCTACTTAAATTCTTATATATATATTGACATTTTTTAGAAAATTATTTTTATTTGAAATATAATATACTGCCGTTCAAAAAAGTAAAAACTTAAACATGATAACGACATAAAAAATTACATATTATAATATAGATATTTTCTTAAAAATAATGTTTTTTAATGAATGAAGATTATGTAAGAAATATATCCCAAAATATTAACACTTTAAGAGAAATATAGTAATACACGTTTAAAAGAGTGATCCAATATTATATATTATTACATTGTAAATTGTAGTATTGTACCTATAGCTATTACAGGTACATCTACGTCCCACATATATTTTGTTAGTTTGGTTGAAACGTGTCTCGGGATTATATTACTATGATGGAACCTAATTAGTGGTTACTCCCATCTGTGCAACTCAGGCACTCGGCTGTTCACGGATGTCGGTGGCTTTCGGTTTTTTATTATCATGTTTCAATATAACCCATATATTATTATCCAAAATTTTAATTTTTAATTTTTAATTGTAATGTAGAAAGAGGGAATTATAGGATTTAAACTTCAAACCTTTTTTGGTAGGCTTACCTCTAATTGCGACTATGCTTACAACGAATGAGTTAGTTTTTATATTTCATGATTTTTGAAATAGGTATATTGATATCATATTGTTATTTTTTATCAGACAATCGTGTTTATTTGTTGTTTCCAGATAAGACGGTAAGTATTTTGGGTTATGTTTATTCGATGTGGTCTCAACTAAAAAAAAACATTTCCATTTTAAACGAAAATATATTTCAAGGTCATATGTATTTTAGATAGTTATGTGAGCTCTGACCTACTATCCCATGTGTTGTTTCTAAATTTGCAACAGTCTTCACGCTACTGCTTCTTTGAAAGCATCTCATTCTTCTACACGTTAATATTTCCAAGTTTTTATCTTTCAATTTTTTAATTTATTGTAATATTTTATGTATGTTGTTTACAATAATTAAATCAATTATATTTTAGTTTAAGACGTATGATTTATACTTACCACAGTTTTTACTTATTACAATCAAGTTACACGTAAGTAATTAAATTATCTTTAAAACCAACAAATAATATTTTCTGAAAAAATCATATTAATATAAAAAGTACTTAGGTATTTTTATTTACAATAAAGACATAAATTATAAATTTTTAGAATGTTAAGTTAAAGTATAAAACCAATGACCACATAGATAGATTATACTTATCTATAGGGCCCGGAAGTTCATGCACAAAAAACTATCAAAATATGCACTAAATAAATATGCGCTAAATATGCATTTTAAAAAAAATATTACTATGGAGATAAGTTATATAGAATCCATAGTAATATTTTGAATGTTAATATTTGGAAAATATTTAAAATAATTTGTCAAAAACGTTAGATAGTAATTTAACATACAATACTCTGTTATACAATTCATAAATTATCTTTATAATAAATAATATTTTTGGTTTCTTTTGGATCGTATGTAAACCACCTAGTTTATCACCGCTTTCAAATTTCAAACTATGTTCCTAGGAACACCAGTGTTCTACACCATATTGAACTGAGGCCGTGTAAATTGACTATAGTGTTGAATACGAGAACTAAAATTGAAATAATACAATACCATATATTGTTCGTAGACCATAGTATAATAATATAAAATATTTTTAAATTGTTATTAATTTTATTTTACTATAGGTATATTATGATAACATAAAATATGTTATCTTATTGCTAAATTCAGATTAGCAGAAAACAATTTGGAAGCATTGAATAAAAATGAAATTTATTTCGATATTGGTACTTATAGCATTTCATTGTGCTCCTGAAATAAAATCTTCAAACATACTGATTTTTGTACCTTCGCCTTGGAAGAGTCATATCGTGTCGTTTGAACCTTTGTTTTTAGAATTAGCACATCGAGGTCATAATGTAACGTTGGTATCAAAATTTGTCGTAAAAAATCTACCGCCGAATTATACACAAATTGTTCCCAAATATGAATTTGATTTTGAAGCAGGTAATTAAAAAAAAGTGAAATTACTAAAAAAATAAATACACCTTTTTAAAATATGATATTAATAAATACAATAATCAATTATGATTTACTTGCGATCAAATATTAAAGAAGATCACATTTCTTTTAAATAAATAATCCACTAACATAACTATTTGTTTTATATTAATTTGTGTATATTTTATATTACCTATATTTTAAATAGTAGCATATAATGACTGACACCCTCAAATACTGAATATACCCTTATCACTACCTATTTTCAGTTTATTGTCAATAATAATATATTTTATAAGATTATTTTACTAATGCGATTCATGTATTTTAATTTTACTTTAGTAACAGATGCTGTGTTGCAAGACACTAACAATTATCAATTTTTTTTTGAGGAATTATATATGCGAAATGTAATTGGTATCAATATCACTGAAACTTATGTATCATCTCCAGAGGTACAAAGGTTTATCAAGGAAGATCAAACCAAGTTTGATCTGGTGATCATAGAATCTTTTTTTCAAGAATGTACAGTTGCCATGGGTCATAAATATGGTGCCCCAGTAGTTAGTATTATTCCGGTAGCTCCTTGGGTTAGCATTTCTCGCCATGCTGCCAATCCTTCAGATTTTTCTTATATTAAAGATTTTAAATTAAACGCTGGGAAATCAATTGATTTCCAAAGTCGATTACTTAATACTTTATTTGGTTTAAACGGTCTATTTATTGAACTAATTACGTATATTCCACAACAAGAAAAGTTAATGGATACGTATTTTCAATACCCTGGATATGAAACCAGACCATCGATGACAGAGATGCTCGAAAATATATCACTTAGCTTAATCGATTCCGATGTAGCAATTCTAAGCCCTCGACCTTACGTTCCAAATTTTATCGAGATCCCTGGTATTCACATTCAACATATAAAGACAATGAGTAAGGTACTGTGTCTGCATTTAAGTGTTTAATTAATTGACTAAAGGCTATTGTAACATAACAATATTTATTTTGTGCTGCAGACCTTACAGAATTTCATGGACACAGCTAACGCAGGTGTTGTATACTTAAATTTTGGTACCATATTGAATGTGACTAGACTACCAAAACATTCACTAGAAGTTTTGATAAATGTTTTGGGACGACTAGAACAAAAAGTTTTGTTCAAATGGACTAATAACGACACCCAAGGATTCCCAGAAAATTTTTACGTCGACTCTTGGTTTCCACAGTTAGACATTTTGAGTAATAATTTATGTGACATTTTAAATCATAAAGGGATTTTTAATTGTTGAGATATTATTTATTTTAGGGCATCCGAATTGTAAGCTTTTTATTACGCATGGAGGAGTCCACGGTATAATGGAAACAATAGATGCTGGAATTCCGTTCATCGGGTTTCCAGTTTTTGGGGATCAGTTCCAAAATATAAGAATGAGTCAAGAAAATGGCTTTGGGATTATGAGTAATATTCATACATTGAACGAAGAGACTTTCGAAAGAGACGTTAAGCTAATATTGACTGAAAAGAGGCAAGTATATTATGCATTTTACTATACATCGCTGTAAACAATTTATGTAAGATACTAGATTAAAATATAGTAATATTTTTGCACAGAGTGGAATACAATTTTAATAATAAATTGTAGAAAAGTTAGTAAAAACAATTAATTTTAGATAGTTATGTTTAGAAATTGAAAGTCTCTTAGGTTATAAATTAGCAGTTAATACTATATTAAGATGATAGGTTATGAAAAAAATCGAAATGGTGTTCAGTTAAAAATTCCCGTTTTTCTCATACAATGTTATTTTTAAATATCCTTAGGTTTACAGAAAATGCCAAAAGAATGTCTACAATATTTCATGATAGACCGATGTCAGCACTTGATACGGCCGTATATTGGGTGGAGTACGTTATTAGGCATAAAGGAGCCCATCATTTACGAACTGCAGCAGTGAAATTAACATGGTATCAATATTTGTTATTAGACGTTATTCTATTTATTGTTACGATTGTATTATTATTAATCTATATTTGTTATTTCATTACTAAATGTCTTATGAGATCAATACTGAAATTGTTCATTAAACAGAAAACAGATTAGTTATTTGCAAAATCATAAAATACTCGGCGAAAATATATTTTCTCAATTTATAATGTAATTTACCTAAGTTATCTATAAACAATAAAAGTTTTTTGTTTAATTTTAGCTTTTATATATAGGCACCATTATGGAACGTCTGTTACATTATTTACAAACAGTAGTTACTAAAGTTAAAACAACTATTTACTAAAGTTGTGAACTATATATTATTTATTGAACGCTTATTATAACTGTATAAAAGTAATATGGAGATATTAAAAAAAAATTTAAGGTATTGTTTTATATTTTTATAGTAAGTATTTATTATATTTTAACTGCCTACATAATATATCTGATACTTAATTATGTACAGTGTACAGTTTCTGTTGAAAAAAAAATAATAAACAATTTATTTTAAAGCACATTTCTCTGTATCGTACCTATAGGTCATAATTGTTACTATATCAATTGTATTTTGTTATAAATTATAATATCTCCTAGGACCACTTTTGAAATCCAAACGTTTACTATCCAATTAACTTACCATATACTAGTCAATAATTCTACCAATTTGGACATACGGTATTCATTTTTGGGGTTTTGCAAATCCATCCAATACCAAAACGCTTCAAGCTTTTCAATCCATCTTCTTACGACTAGTAAGTTTTTCTACTTGTTATTAACAATAATCTTCACAAAGACCTATAAAATCCTACCCTTAAACAATTTTGCAAAATTATATTACTTTAAATTTCATACAAACATAAACGCTCACAGTAATCTATTAATCACACAACTATCCTTCGTCTAACTTCCCGGGAATGTACGTAGAAGACTCATAAGACAGTGGCCTAGATGACCTACTAAAATAAAAAATCTAAATTATATGAATATAAATTGTACCTACAAATTACAAATTACAAATCAAGACATTTTATATGATGTCATACATACATACAAAGACGCAAATTAATCCTATAAAGTTATAACTATCATTTGTCAAAAATAGAAATTAGAAAAAATATTGTTCTCAATAATAAACCTCAAAAATATTGCTTTCAATTTTTTTTATGATAATAATATACAAGTTCAACTTTAGAAGAAGTAATAAATAAAAATTATTTAAAACGTATGACAAAATGTTAGTTTCAGTTTTGTTTCAATGCCGTTTTAGTTTTGGGCATGATGACTTGAGATATATTGACATAAACGAGCAAATAATTATCATCAATAAATTATGAAATCGTTTTCAAGTTCAATAATTTATCATTACTTTTAATTGTGTATTGATAATACATGAATACCAATACTCAAATATTCAATTGATCGAGATGAGTAGGTACTCAAAATTCGGTTTCTGTAACTCTATTCAGAATTTTTAATGAAACTAATTTAATGTGGACAAATGAACGATTCTTGATACGCTCTGTTTAATGTTGCAGTAGCTGCAAGATTTTATGGAAAGAGCTGACACGGAAGTTGTGTGCTTCAATTTCGGGACTGTGTAATGGGGCACGTGACTAACTTACCAAAAAAGTTTCGTAAATGTATCAAGACGATTGAAACAGTCGTTCGTATTCAAATGGATTAACAACGACACACGACTAATTTTAAACAATTATTGTGGAGTATTTTTTTCACTTCCCCGTGGTTTTCACATGTTAGGGCACGACATTCTGAATAGATAGTTGTACGACATATTATGAAATACGTCTTGTTAAGTCATTAATAGTTTCCAGATAGTAATTTCATTTAGGCTTTTGGAACATTCCAGCTATGAGATCTGTTTTATAACTCAGGTGGGGGCCATGGTCTACGGTTTAATGAAAACTATAGACACTATCGGCTTTGATCGGTATAATTGTGTAGAAAGAGTAATATTTTTATAAAAGCTGAAGATGTGTTTGAACTTTAAAGAAATAACGTGAAGCTTAATATAGAGGGCTCGTATTGACTGATCATGTTGTACATTTTTCTGTGAAAATATATTTTTAATGGAGATTTTTTATAAGAAAATTATACAATCTGTTTTCAATGTGCATTTTGTGTTTCAAAACATCACAACTCTGTTCGATGTAAGTAGTAATAATTTTAACATCACACGATAAACAAACGTAATGATAATCAGTTTTGATGAAACATTATTTAACACAATATATGCAAAAAATATACCGGATAAAATATTAGTTATGGAATAAAATATGTAAAACACGTGAGAGGATAGAGAGGCACATTATTTTACTGTGCGCAATATTTATGCAGGTAGGTAACTATTTGTATTATTTAAAATAAATTATAATTATTATTGAACTATGTTTTTGTAACGGACATTGAATATTACTTTTAGCTGGGAATCTATCTAAAATTCAAATAAATAATGTTTATTTAGTTAAACATATAGCGTAAATAATATAATAATTTTAATATAACGATAAACAAAATAATTTATTCATTATTGTTTCTTCTTGGAACGTATACTGTTTGGTTTAATTTGTATTGAATGTACTCTATAGATGGTTGTAATAAATAATAATACATTTATTTTACTGGTACAGAATACAGGTTATTCATATTTCTATAGAAAACAATTGGTAATGAATAGTAAGCAATTTTGTTTATCAAACCACAATTATTTTATTCTTTTTAAATTCGATTTGACTAATTTAATACAAATAAATAATACATTCACGTAAAATATACAAATGCATGTATATTCGTATCACATAACATGAATAAATGAACTGAAATAAAACAAATATTTATTTTATTTCTACATTTTTGTTTTGGAATAAGTAATTCGGAAATACCTATAAAATCAGTATAGTTTTTATTTTATAGCTTACCTTTTAAAACAAATATTCTTTAATTTGAATGTTATCTTAATATGTATTACATTTTAAAATGTCTTAAATATACATACAGTAAGAAATTAAAATAAATTATGAGTAATTTCATGATAATGGATTATTATAATAAACTATGTTATTACCTATATAATATAGAACTACATTAAAATGTAGGATTAGACACTGATTAAATGTATTCTTATATTATCGAAGATAATTCAAATGCATTTTACGAGCTTATAGAAAATTCCTACACATGAAAATATTGTATCCATAAAAATGCGAGGAATGTGAATATAGTGGGTTGAGTGGTTATCTAAATAGTTGATGTGAATTGTGAAGGATTATTTGATTATGCAAAAAAATAGGGAGGAACGTCTCGTAAAAATGTATGTAGAATGTAGGAACAAGTATCTGTAGACGTGAACGACGATAATATGATTTACAGTGATCAATGAAAGGCATAATACAGGAATACGTAACTCAGGTAAGGTATCTAACCTGCTGCAGTATTCTAAACGATCACGGATTTGTTCTCAAAATTGTCTATAATCATGATGAAAACTTTGTGGAACCAGATATATGTTAATATATTAAATGCAATAATATTACTATTTAGATAATTTAGTTACGCAGTCACGTAAACCTACATGAGATCATACCACACTAGTATTTTCATATTTAAACAGATTTAGATTTAGAATAAGATAACTTTTAAGTTCGAAGACACGAGGTATAATTATTATCAATGGGATGTAATTTTTGAACTAAAAAAATTGTGATTAAACATTGAAGTATCTATTATTTGGTAGATTACACGTTTAACCGCCAACAGGTGTTTGTTATCGTAACATCACATTGATTAACGATTACATGTTGATTGTATTATTTTTACTTATTAAAATATAATAAATTATTCTTTATTATGTTTTTTTTTTATCACACGTCCAAACGTGATAGGTATCTTAATATTGAATACTTTTACGGATAACTGATAACGATAAGTATAGGTACTAAAGTTATAATAACGATTATCATTTAAACTTCAATTTTAGGATTTAATGTTTATAGTATGTTTGTATATTGTATATTGTATACGATTAACGATTTTGAAAGTTTATTAGGTACTTATCTTTATAGATCATTCCTATAATTTATTTTATATCTTCAAACTTTAAAATATTGTACTGCAAAATATAATTTATGAGTAGATTATATTTTGTTTTAGCTTGAATATCTATACCGATTTTATTACCGTTGATGTATCTTTAAATATTTATTTAGCTAAAATATATTGCTTAAGGTTGACATAAATAGGGTCAAAATATTATACTTAAGGTTTGCATGTTTATTTCTGTTCTTATGGTTTTAGGAAACACACAAATCATTCAATAGTTATTCGTTTCACAATAACGATAATTTAAATATAATATTTTTCTGCATATTTTTCCATATTTCAATAACTTTATGGTACCCATTGAGATATTTCAAACATATTTTAATTTTAAAATTTTAATATGTATTGAAAGAGAGTGGATTAATGTATTGGTTTACAAAAATGTGTCTGAAAAAAAAAACATTTTGCACGTCTGTTATCACCTTTTGGCATACAAAAATGAATATACAAAAAATATCTAGTTGGTGCTTTGAAGGGTCAAAATAATTAAATAATCAGGAAAAACTAACAAAAAACAATGGAAATATTACAACATAACAGCTGCAGTTTTCGACAAAATTGATTTATTTTTTGTAGGTAATTCAAAAATAAATAGCGGTGCAGACTTGAAAAATTCTCCAATTACTTATTTATATTAGAATTTTCTAAACATGTTAAACTTTAAAAATATTTTGCCGCTCTTTAAACCATTTAGGTATAGACATTTAAAATGCTAATTTTTTTTTAAATTTCTGTTGATAAAAATTTTGTTTCTAGGGAAATAAACTCTACAATTTATTACAAAGATTCCCATAATTTTTTCTCATAGCAATTTAAGTGGAAAATACACTCACTTTTTACGAGTAGTTGCAAATCAAATTGTCCTCAAATGTTATTAAAATCGTTATAATTTAAAAAATGTTAATAGTAGAAACTTGAAACATTTATCTTTAGCTTAAATTATAGTTTTTAATTCATCATGAAATATTTAATTTTAAACTATATTTTATGCTTTAGAGGCATTTAATATTTCCAATTGGTCTTATTTTTTTTTCTCAAATATTGATTGAAATTTTTTTCTCAGACAAATAGCTGGAAAATGTAATACATTAAGTTCCTCGTGAGTTATCTTTACAGACATTTAAAAATATAATAATCGTTTTGAATGATTAATATTAGTTTTTTTTTTTCTGTTTAAATTTATCAGTAAAAATGTTTGTCTAATTTTAATAGCCATTTTTAAATTTTGTTATTTTGTGTAGTTCAGCGTTTCTCAACATGTGGTACGCAGGAAGCTATTAGGTGGTACGCTAGGAAAATCTCACTTTATAAAAAAAAATGCTATGGACCATTATTCACAATATATATTATTTGTTTTTTTGATATTAAATAATAATATAAATATCAATTGTATATAATATTTAAAAATTCATTTTATTTTTATGTATTAAATGCTTATATTATCATCATTTTGTAGTTCCTAATAAAATTAATTTTGATACATGTAAAATAAGGTATTCTGCCGTGTTCATTTTGGACAATCAAAAATAAAACGTAGTTACTTCCCCAAGTGGTACGTGCAAATTGTCAAACTGGGTAGGTGGTACGTGGATATAAAAAGGTTGAGAACCACTGGTGTAGATAATACAAAAACTAATAACCATTAACCATAGATACTCAAAAATGTCCACAAATGTTTATATTAGAATTTTCTGTTGCTGCAGGAATAAGTTTCATTAGGTATTCATATTTTTGAGCTATTTATAGACATTTGAAACTTTGATTATTTTCCTATAATTATTTGTAATACAAAGTTCCTTGTGAATTAAAAACAAAAAAAAATTAAAATCTAAAATTTTCAACCTTGTGAATATGTTGAATTTTTTAACTTATTTTATAACTTCAAATTTTAAGTTGTGTAATAAATAATACAATATAAAACCTTAAGTGTTTACACCTACTTTTTTGGCGTATTTCAAGTTTCAACTAAATATCATGAAATCGTCATAATATAAATAAATGTTTTAAACAGTGTGTGGTTTTGGTTTACAATATATTTAGGTCATTAGGGTAACCTATATATTTTGTAAGCATTTGGGCAGTTTTAATTTATTTTAATTGTACCTACTATTTTAATATTTTACCATAATCTATATAATTCAATTATGTTACAAATAGTTTACGTCAATTCGTTGTTTTGTGAATTGACGTTACCGTTAACTCAATTAATTTGTAAAGTACCTTTTATTGACTGCAATTATTCGTTACTGTTTTACAATTTCAGTAATAATTTATTTATTAAGTGGCATTATCTACAACACTACTAATTGTACCTATTGGATTTTGACATAACAGGCATGTAAGATACAAATGAAAAAATATTTTAGTCAACTACACGAAAACAAGTTTCTATATTATTGTATTGTAACTATAATAATATTATATAAAAAGAAAACTAGCTCGTTGTTGCCGGGCTCAAGTACATAAATATATGTACTGCTGTTATCTGGCAAGATTAAATATTATTTAATATTTTTTTCAAAACTTCTTTGTAAACAATATTCTCCACAGCTAGTGGGCTAGCTTGCGCGTGACCAAGCTACGTAGAATTGGCCGTATAAAAAACAGTTTTCTATCAATCTATTTCCGCAAATTTGAGAGTCTTGTCTCGTGACTTATTGGTAGTCATTGCAAAGCAGACTTTGAGGGGAAGCTGTAATCGTTTAAATCGGACCGGGAGATCGTTTCGAATTAAAGGAATTCGTGGTACGAGTAAAGTTTCTCCTTGCGCACATCCAGTTAAAATTGTGGCTTCCACTATATATTCCGATGTAAGGTTTTGACTTTCGGCCTGGTCCCGTTGCACGGTTTAGGTGGTTTCAAATTTTGCAGGAGTTACCACACTCAGAATAATCCTATGACATGGCATATACCTGCTGGTTTCCACAAATTTAAAAATTCGACAGGATAATATTAGTACCGTCGTCTATGTTGAATAATGTGCGGCAGAAATATTTTCAGATTATTTATTATTAAAACTTATTAGAAATTGATTGAATTTATTTAACAAACACAGCATACATTTAAAGTGTATACAGCTGCATACATATAGGTAATTGTATGTGGGATCAACTTTTAAGTTTATACTATTATTATGCGGACTCAGCTAGGATAAAAAATAAAGTGAGCTATGAGTATGTACAACTTTAGTACTTATTTGGAAATGTAATAATTAAATAGTTATTTAAACTATTTAAAATAACAGTATAGGCAGTACAGCTAAAATGTACAAAAAGATTGAAAAAATGAGCACTTTATGTAATTTTTTACTCTATTTCGAGAAATGATTTTATTTTAAACATTTACAGTTCTTGAGAAATACATTTTTAGTTTATGTGCTATTGTCATCTTTGCCACCATTTTGTTTAAAGTAATTTTGCACAATGTAAAATATTTTAAATTTCATAAAAGTAAAATGTACATTTGTAACGAAATTGCTGCGAAATGTATACAGTTATAGTTCTAGACATAACATTTTCTAATCTTAGTGATTTTATTAATATTTATTTTTTTGATAAAATGTTCAACAATCTATAATAATATTTGTAAAAATGATAGAAATGTAATAAACTGAACAATTTGAAAGATTTGCTGTTAGATTTTATTTTATAAATATTGTCACAAGTACTTCTTTATACATATCTAAAACGTCTCAATGGTTTTAAGTTTTTTATTGAACGTCATATTAAAAGTTCATTATTTCAAGTACCTACTTACTGTTCATTTTTAAATATTTTTCTCAATATTGTTTTAATATTTCTTGTAGGTTAGTTCAATTCGTCGTTTTAGGTATCTATTTAAAATTAATTTGTAATATTATGTTGTGATGTATATTACTATTTATTTGATAAGTTATGAAACATTGAAAGCAATAGGTAATTCATTGTACCTATTACACAATTTTATACAAAAGTTGTAAATTTAAAAGTATGTTGATTGGCTCAGTCGTGTTGATTAATTTCAATATTATAGTAGTATTATTTATTATTACATAATTTGATATTAGTTTCGTTTACTTGAAAGGCGTTTATATTGAAACATGTCACACATAATATGTAGGTTTCTAGTTAAATTATTGTTTCATAATTTAGTAGCATCTCACTTATCAGGAGCTATAATGTCAATCGAGACAGACAAAGTAGAAAAACTTATTTTTACCAGCTACTAAGTTTTTTAATATGACAATTGTGGTAATAATTATATATTTAAATTTGAAATTTAATTTTTAATGTAACTTAAGGAACCATATTGATAGTCAATTATATATTTAACAGCTGCAACTGATTTATCTTACTAAAATATACAATGTAATAGTACCAGGTTAGTACCTAATAGGTTACCAAGTAGGTACCTATACATTCAAAGTAAAATGACAAGTATTTTCTATGATCGAATATAATAAAAATAAATAATATAATAGCTTTGGCTAGGCATACATTGCACATAATTATAATTCTCTTAAATACTTTTAAATTATGTTTGATGGTATCAAGCCCAATAGGCAATAAGTAATAAATATATAAATAATAATATCTTTTAAATTGCTACAATAAAATATACAAAATACATGAAACATGTTTTCATCTAAGGAATAAATTACCAATATTAGATAAAATAAATACATCAAAGCTATGCTTGAGCCACACCGTTCTCAGATATGTTTTTAGTTTTTTCAATTGGTACTTGTGGTTTCGGCTTTGAAAACGCATCTGAAACAATAATAAAATAATACCGTTAATCATATTTTAGAGATAGGTAGATGAGAATTTTTAAACTAAAACAATGGGAAGTCACTCTGCATTAGGTATATAGTAGGTGTTTCGAGGGTACTTCGTTATTCTGTAGGGCACTGTAAAAGAGGTATTAATATTTTATCCTATGATAAACCATTGCATACAAAAAAATCTTCTAAGCTGAGTGTCAGGCAGCAGGGCCCCCACAAATGGGAGAGGCTGTTGGTCCTGGAATGCAGAAGCCCGGAAATTTTATGGGCCAGTTAAAATGAATTTGTAATTTTTGAAATTTTGATAGAAATATTTATTTTATGTTATAGTTGTATAATATTATAATATATTAAGTAGAAATTGCAATGGGACACTCGTATCGCTTGTAAAGGATTTTATTCCATTGGAAGTGTCCAAAGTTTTGTATGGGGCCCACAAAAATATTTAGTTCAGGGGCCCAACATTTTGTATGGGGTTCCTGGTCAGCAGCTATATTTTCTAGATAAGTAAGTTTTATAGTTTATTAATTAATGTTAATGATAGTAATTTATGTTTGTATTAGTAAAACAAAAACATGGCATAGGTGTGTTATTATATTATTTATTGTTAGGTAGCCAGGTAGGTAATTTAGTATTATTGTTCTATAAATATTAGTCTAAATATTTAAAAAATTGTATCGTGTATACATAATAATAATATAATTAATGGCTAAATGGCCGAAAAGTTATAATTTTCTACGGTTAATATTTTTTAAATTACTATTCCTAGTACCTACTTTCAAAATCACATAATATTAATTGTTTGGACGGTGATCTTTAATATTTATTGACAGACCTGTTAACAAATTATACAGGAACTTTCAATTTAAATAACATGCTCCAATATACCTAACTATATTAGATATTTTTAAAAATCATAATGCAGTCATGAGAAAATATATTTTATGTAGGCCACCGTTGCCCGGGCCAACGATTTGTATTTTTATTAAATGTATTTGTAAAAAAATGTAAATCTAGTGTAAGCTACCCTTTAGCTACCTATAGGAGTTGAAAAAATAAGATATAAGCATCCTCTAAGACTCGAGAAATCTATTGATATAACTTTTATTGAAACGGTTCAGTAGTTTTCGAGTCTATAAACTTCGGATGAACCAACAACAATTTGTAACTCGACTTTGCCCGTTAAAAAATGAAAAAAAAAATATAAAAAGTATAGCACTATAGTAGGAGTATCTTGGTTTTGGTGTACCTCTGTTTACGGACAAATTTGCGTCGGTGTACCTCGCTTTGTGAACTAATTCGACCGAGATTGACAATTCGCCTGCGGTGGATTTGACATACGTCGAACGTGGTTCAAACTAATGTCTACGTTTTTCTTATGCCTCCAAGAACGATTTGAAATTTTCACAAAATCGGTTAAGTAAGTTTTGAGTACCTATATAGGCTACAAACATACATTTAACTCTTATATTTGTTTTAAGACATAATTTCTTTGTTCGAAACCATAAACGCGACGATTGTAATATTGTTTATATTTGTAAGCTTTTACCTCATCTGCCCGATGGCAAAAAATATTAATTTCTCCTATTACTATTACAGTATTATATTAATCTGTAAGTCGTAACTAATAGCAACTATTTACTAACAAAAATGTGAATGTGAAGATATTTTCTTAAATTTGCAATAAGAAGGTGTCTCAAGTTTGGACCAAGCAAGAGACATTTGCAGAATTTCATTAAAATCGGTTAAGTGGTTTCGGAGATCAGCGTGATCGAAAATCGTGACACAAGATTTATGATTTATATAATTTATAAGTATAGAATAGATAAGCACTATGTTATTTAAGTATACTTGACAGTAGTCTTAGATGAAAATGAATATTATAACTACTATACAAATGTATATTAATATGTTATATAACTTATATAATGTAAATGAATAGTGTAATATTGTTCTGATTTGGTGTAATATTTAAAAAATATTATATATATATATGTTCGGCATGCAAATATGGTTAGATCTATAAATTACATTTTAATAATCTTACCTCCAACAAATAGTTTCATAACATTCTTCTGAACTCTGTCAAATGGCGATTCGATCATTACATTGATAACAAATGCGTACATGATGGCCACCGTGCTGTCAGCACAAAATCTCCAAAACTGTTTTAAAACCATACAAATAATTTAATACATTGGAATAAAACTGGCATACATGTAAAGTATTGAAACAATTTGTTTTGTATTTCAAATACATTTGTGGAGTATAAAATACTAAGAAAATCCCAAATATGTACATAACTATCGTATTTTTTTTTAAGACTTGGGTAGTATGATTACTCTGTACCATGTACATACACATTATATAATTTTATTGTAATTACCATTAATGTTAAGTTTTGGTATGTCGGTTTCTCGATGGATCCAATCGTTTGGAGTTGAATGATTTCCTGGTACATGTAAATGCAAAAAACCAATTTTCCAAGAACGTGGAAAACTCTGTGACCTAAAAAGCCACTGATGCAAACCCCTTCACACATGTACAATAAAAAAGTAAAAATGGAGTTTATTTTTTATGGTTTGGATAAAAAAAAATCATACCAAATCCGGAGAGTCCGTGACCTATTATCCCGTATGAGATAAGAATAGACCACACAAGTCGGCCGACTGTAAAGTACATTGCGTGCTCGTAATTTACATATTTGTGTCCTAGTGTAAAGAATGTTCCAGAACTCAAGTATATAATATTGCCAATCATGAGGACAACTGGAGCCCAGAAAATACGACTTTTCTATAAATTCATAAAGGTTTGACGTTAATGTGTAATAATAGTTCAAGTAATATGTGTACAAACAAATGATGTATGCGAAATAATTATTTCTGCAATTATATTTTATCAAATCACTTTAAACTAATATAGTTAAACATATTAACAGTATTTCAGTTAATTTATCTGTTTGGTTTTTAAAATAATACTAATGGTGCATTCAACAAAGGGTTAATTATAATAAATTAAACTCCATATTACCAATGACAACTTGTAATCAGCGTCCTTCAACCTCGTGTAAATGTATCCTGCTAAGATTCCAACAAAGTAAGTCATTGACCTCATGTGGCTTTTTATATACACTTCAGTGTAAAATCTTTCTTTGCTGAGATCTTTAAGATTTCTATAACACGAAAATTATGTATGTTATGAGTTATAATGACGTCATGTACATTTGATTTTAGTTTATTATTAAAATTGGCACAAGTACTAATTTTGTTTAAAATAATTAAAATGAAAATAAGCGATTAGTAATCTTTTTTTAAATATTCATCAATTAATATAACATGACGTGTTGCTTAGATAATTACTTAAAATAATAAGATTTTATATTTAAAAAAAAGTAATGTCTCCAGGAAAAATTAGAGATAATAATTATTATAGTGTTTGAAATTTTGTACATATAAACATTATCATTAACAATAACAATAACTGTACGTCTGTTCGAATATTTTGCAAAATAAATATAATTCTTTAAATATATTTTTTAAATTTATCCACTCTATCAAATTATTTATCAATAACTTAGAAAACACATTAACCTCTTAATGGACTGAACAATATGGTAGTAAATTTGGATGTATTCAATGTATTTCTAAAAATAAATATAATTTTATACCGATATAGCTATACTGGTTAATAGTGGTCATGGGTACCCGACAAACGGACAAACCGAGTATGTAATTGATTTAAATATAATATTATTTCAGGCCAATTTAATTATTATAACTGCTTACTGAGGAGTAATATCAGCCGTTCCTCGATGCTTCTCATTCATTATTATATAAGCAGGAATTACTGTTGAAAAAGTCAAACACGCCCCAAGTATCACGAGCCCTTGTTTCCTCCACTTCCAAATTACATAGGTGAGTAGTGTACCAACTATGAAGAAGTGCATGTCGCAAGCTAAATACCACGACGGGATGATACACTATAAACATACGTCCATTAGACAATATTTATGACAAATAATGTAAATAATAATATATTTTGTGCTTACCAACTCATCAGTGTGAACGTAGTTGTTGATAAAAAGTACGTTTGTCCACCAGTTGTTTTGACACCTTTCCGATTCCTTGTACACGATCATCCTCCAATAAGGACCACTATTCAGATACGGAAGTACGAAAATGTATGTGACTATAAGTGTTCCGTACACTGGGAATATTCTGAAATGAAAATCCCCAATATTTCTCTACTAATTGACGTAATATAATCTGAACAATTAAATAACTAAAGTTGATGTACCACGTACCTCAACCATCGATAAATCATTATGGGTATAAAGTTCAAATGTTTTTTTTCCGTAAGCTGTTTTGTAATTAGATAGAAAGTCAGGAATCCACTTATTACAAAGAATGTTTCCAAAAATATGGTGCATTTAAAGTAGCCCAACCAGAAATTATGAACCATCTAAACAAAAAAAAAAAAAACGTTTTGGTATAAATAATTATTGCTTTATCAATGCGCTTTATGCGTTGCATCGCACTTACCCAATGAGTGAAATTGGGATTTGACTGTGGGTTTCCAAGCTCAATAAACCATCTATGACCGATAATGACTTGTAGAATTGCACATACTTTAAATCCGTTAATAATTGAAAACTCTTCGGTCTCCGATGGTTTTAGAAGTCTTTCAAAGTTTGAAATAAGTGAAAACGGTTTCATGATTTTTTCTAATAAAATAGAAAAATATGACTGTAGAATACATTAAATATAATGTTTGAAAAAAAAAAAAATGCTTATTACAAAAATGTATTAGCCTGAACTTACTCATTGGTCCGTGTTCAGATTTTGGTCGGTAATGTAAATAAATTAAATCATATAAGGTGCCTGCGATGACAAGTAGTCCGACCATCACGTACATTGAACTACAAAAATCAAGAAATGCTGTCAACATACCGCTGAAGAATATAAAAGAATTATTTTTAATCGTACCAGACAAAGAAGAAACCCACAGTGAATTTATACACATTTTCTTTGGAAGTGTGCAACAATGGGTCGATGGTCACATCACCTTCCAATCCATGACGGTTCATCTCTGGTATTAATACGTTGCTCACGATCTTTTGAACGTCTTCCGATTGACAAGTATCTGGTAAACACACGGCCCATTGAAACTTGTGCCTTTGTACATAAGCCTCTTGTACGTTGTGCTAAAGAAATAAAACGACTTTAAATAAAAAACTTTTAAATTAAATTTGGAAAAATGTATTACGACAAACAAATTTAAGTCGAATAAAACTAAAACGAATCAGTCAAAAAAAGTAGGTGTCTCAAATTTAAATTATAAAATTTAATTTAATATACAGGGTGATTTTTTTTATCGAAGAACACTCATTATTTCAAAAAGTATTAATGTTTAAGAAAATATTTTTTTACATAGTTTCAAGTTGTTAAAAAACAATATTTTTATTAAAAAATTATATTTTTAAATATTTTTTATCGTTTTAATTTTTTAAGTTTTTTACTTTTTTGAATGACAACATCTAATTTTAATTTGATATTCAAAAACAGAATATTTTTCTGATTATTTTAATACATAAAAATTGAATTTAGGGCAAGTAGTTTATGAGTTATAAGTATTTAAAGTTTAGATGAGCGGAGTAGAGGACAAACATTTCGCGGGGTAACCCCGTACCACTCTACTCCGCTCATCTAAACTTTAAATACTTATAACTCATAAACTAATTGTCCTAAATTCAATTTTTATGTATCGAAATACTCAGAAAAATATTCTGTTTTTGAATATCAAATTAAAATTAGATGTTGTCATTCAAAAAAGTAAAAAACTTAAAAAATTAAAAGGATAAAAAATATTTAAAAATATAATTTTTTAATAAAAATATTGTTTTTTAACAACTTGAAACTATGTAAAAAAATATTTTCTTAAACATTAATACTTTTTGAAATAATGAGTGTTCTTCGATAAAAAAATCACTATTAAATAAAATTGATTTAATCAATCAATATTATGTAGACGATGTGTGATGATTAGTAAGTGGTAATAATGGCCCAAAACTAATAGTTCCACAGAAAATTAGTCAACAGTAAAATGGTCAAAAACTACAACGCTATTTTAATTGTTATACCAAAAAAAGGAAAAAATACATAATATTATTATTATAATAAAAAAAAATTCAATATAAATATATATAAAAATATATAAGTTTTGTAGTTGTATTCATATAATATGCATAATATATAAATATAGTTTTTAATTAAAGTACCAATGGCAATACGTTAAGTTATACCTACTTAATGTTTAATAAACGATTTTTATTTAAAATATCAGACTTAGAATCGAAAATTAAAGTTGATAATAATTCGGTATCTTTGATAATAAAAATTACTAGTCGATATTTTTTAAAAACCAACTTTTTTTGAAAATTACATTGGGTTGACATTTTGTTTTTAAAATATAGTAGTTAGTCCTTTGGTTCATACCTTAATTTACTATAACACTACATGCTATAAATTAGAAAAAATGTTATCTATTAGTATTGGTTAATATTTGTAAAAATTTAATAATCATCATTTTATATTTTGATTTGAGATTTGATGAATGGCCATACGGGAAATACATTCATAAACTATCTATGTTTTTTATACAATATTTATAAACATATAACAAGTTAAACGATACTTGGTACTTACCTTTAGTACTTCCCATGTCGACGTGTCTTGGTCAAACGGTTCGTAATCTTTCGAGTGATCGTTGTCATAAAATCCTGGATATACTTGAACACTTGGTCGAAAATCAATGTCAACTAATGTGTATCCACCAGATATACCGAGGTTTTTAGATTTTGTTTCAATACATTGGTCGAAATTTCCGAAACTGAATGTGTTTGCGTCTACAAGTCCTTCAGGACCTTTTGATGTGGCATCTAACACTGCAATAATGCAATAAACGATGACATAAATATTTTCACGCATTTATATAGTGTATACCAGTTGATATAATATATTTAAAAAATGAATGACTTAATAATTTAATAACAATTGAAATGAGCATTTTATCGAAGCATTTTATTGTGTAATTAGTTTTGATTTTAATTATGCAGTCCAGTACTCCGTTTTTTCACTACAAAAGCTTATTGTTTTAAAAAAAATATTCGATATTAGGTGGGTACGCATCAACATATTTAGGAAAGTATTTTACTTCAGACGATGAAATTAAGATAAATATTGCCTAAATACTCAAATTTTATATTAAGGGGCCGAATCAAAAAAAAAGGGCAACAATAAAATGTTAAACGCATATCCTAGCATGAACATAGGTTACATAAGTACCTATCCTTCCAAAAGAAAACTTACAAATAAGTAAGTTGTTGAATTATGAATTTTCATGTTTAAAAGAATCTCGTAATAATGTATGTTACATTTTTATTACAGTTAATTGCATTTGTCGTAAACGTACTTTAACGATCTATATAATATATTTTTTTAGAACTTTTGACATTTGATGGTCTTTAGTGTATTTGTAATAAAAATGTAAGCATATACTAAGCTGTTAGAAATACAGTGAATATTGGTTCTTCAATAAAATATATTAAATTCTGTTATAAAAAAAACCGATTGCTTATTTAAGGAATTTGTGACACGTCATGACTTGTTTTTTAAAGATTTAATAAATAATTGTATATTGCATACGCTTTGGTGAACCATTGTGTAAGTGACATAATTTTAATAATTACCAGGGGACCAGCCCGACCAGGGTATGATTATTGTAACACATACTTACTACAAATAAAAAAAAAAAAAACATAAGTTGTCCTACTGTATGATACCTTTTTTTTTATTTGTAGTAAGTATGTGTTACAATAATCATACCCTGGTCGGGCTGGTCCCCTGACAATTATTAAAATTATGTCACTTACACAATGGTTCACCATATGATACCTACATAACATCAAAACAATAATACTATGTTTGCTGCAAAAGAAAAAAAATACAATTTCATTAGATTACTAGAATTTATTGATTTTAAAGTGATGGGTGTTTTTATTTTGTATGTCATTGTGAACAATAAGTAGTCGAAAAAATAAATAAACTTAAAATATTATATATTATATATCTACTCGCAGTTTTTTTGTACAATAGACATTTTTATTTAAAATTTGAACGAAATTGGATATTTTATCGAAGAATAACAATTTTAGTTATTTTTTTGTAATTTAAAAATATTATTCATGCGATTACTCGATACTTTTGAATATTATAATATTATATTTTATTCAAGCTGCAGTACCATTTTTAAGTGTAATGTTTACAATCGTTTTTTGTATACAATGAAATTATATAATTGAATTCAAATCCAACACATACATTACAGTGACCCACACGACACCCACGACAGTACCTACAGCAGAGTGGTACACACTTGTCCACCTTTTTTTTTACTTAAAAATGACTTTTTGTTATTCGTCAATTTTTATACATGTTTGTCAAAAGATAAAAATTTGCTAATTGGTTTTGTTCTGAGCAATCAAGTCAAATATTATTTTTCTTTAAGTGAATTTTTTATTTTTGTTACTGAATCAGGAAATAAACTAGATTTTTATTTGTTTTATTGAACTCCATTAGGTTTGATTACAAACACATTTTATATAGTTAGTAAATTAAATGTTTTTGTGATGTAAAAATCATAAACAGCTAATTTAATCAGTTAATTAAGAGAGAGTTTTTTTTTCATCCAAATCTTTTATATTATTTTATTATATTTGAAATATTATAATATAGTTTGACAGATTAAAAATATTTAAGAGGACGCCGTGATACCCGTAGCGTTATCTCCGTCTTACAAACGTACAAAATAGCAAAAAAAACTGATTTTCGAGGGATAGAACTACTCCCTCGGTATTTATAGTAGAATATATAGAAACCTAACCTAACCTAACCTAACCACAACACAATAGTTTATTTGCGTCTTAGGTTTTTTTATTGCATTTACCAATAATTTTTAATAATTAAATGAAAAAAAAAACAAAAATAATATCCTAATCTTCACAAACTCATAACTTTAATTTTATTTATGTTATACAAATAATAAAAATACTACGACACAGACAAAGTTGTTGTCTATGTGTTGTGGAATTTTGGTAATTCTACTATAAATACCGAGGGAGTGGTTCTGTCCCACTCAAAACAGTTTTTTTGCTTTGCTTGTAAGACAGAGACAATTCATGCGTGTATCACGTCCTCTTAAGTATTCTACAACTTAACATTGCAAAAAACATTTGTGATACAATAATATAGTTCCTGTATCGAAATACAATTGTAACATTTTTTAATCCACTTTCATCTTATTGCTTTTGAAAGTTTAACTTCAATATACGAATTATATCTAAACGGTTTATGTACTTGTCATAAACAATGTATATGTTCTAAAGTTTGTCCAACAACTACTAACCGGTGTAGGTAAGTAAATTGTTCACATGCAGTGTGTGTTTTTTTTTTTTTTTAATATTATTTGTTTAGTTTATCAGTTTGAGAACCGTAATAAAACGCAACCGATTAAATTAAAACTAAAGAATAAAGTATGGTCTAATAAGTAGGCGGTACTCGTCACCACGAAACCGATACATTGTTTTCATTAAATGTACCTAATTTTGAATTAAAAAAAAAAAAAAAAAATGAACGCTCGATGTAATAACAAAATGATTAACTACGACTTAAATATTGTTATTATATTATTATAGAATTGTATTTTCTCTCAATGTGTTTGTGTACTTATTTTTAAATAATACGAACACCGAATGCAAGGGAAACGGCACTTGGTGTTACTTATTTTTACAGAAATATCTAATAAAACACTGAAACCGGTTAGTTGATGGTGCGATGTAGTTCAGAGTGAACTAACTTTTATCCAATTTATGCAAAATATTATTGTACTGGAAAATATATATTTTTTAACGAGGACGTCCACTTGGATATTTTATTAGGTATATATAGATAGTAAACTATTTGCATTCAAATTTTTCCATAAAGTAATTATTAACGAGTAACGACACAATATTTCCTTTCAAAAATTTAAAATTTTTGTTTCGAATCGCGACAAGCTTAATTTGGTAGGTAATTTCTATTTTCCATGATAGTTATTGTTCGTAATTGCTTTTATGTACAATGTGCACAGGGGCGGATTGGCCTATCGGGAAATCGGGAATCTTCCCGATGGGCCGGTTCCTTGTGAGGGCCTGCAGGGCCGCTATAATTATTACAATATAATTACAAAAAAAATTAAATTTTTATAAATTAAGCATAAAATATATTAAAAATCAAATACCTACGAAGGTAATATTTTTAATATCTTAAACTATTGCAATTCATAGTAGGAATTTTGGTATTTACACCATTATATCCCTCCACTTCATGCTAATGTATTATTTAGAAATCTGTGGTATTGGTATTTTAGTATTTATATTTTATACTCTATGGTAGAATTTAGTTACGTGATAACATTGATAACCTTATCTTATCATTATTTGTATATTTTTTTGATTTTGAACTTTTTACACAAACGAGTTACTGTACTTACAGAAGTGTGTTTAGTGTACAAATTCAATTGAACTGTGCAATTTAAATTATGTGTGATGCTGGTGAAAAACGAAAGAAGGGTGGAGCTGAAAAGGTACGAGAAAAAAAGAAAAAACTGTTAATGAAACCTCTATACCTGGAAAATTGATTTAAATTTTCAATCCTTATAGCTATACATGTTGAACATTTTATAAATTTTTAACAACAAAATAATTATTAAATTTTGATAAATCTTGTCAAAATTCGAGCTTTAATTGCTTATAAAAAAAATGTATGGCTATGTATATTTAATATTTTTCAACTGATATTGTAACAATATATCAGGAGCCTTGTATTCAATTTTCAGGCTTTTTGGCACAACAAATACAATTTTATTGGTATTTATAGAAAAAAAAACTAAAAAAATTAAAATTTGAAATGGTCCTTTAAAACATCAAAAAGGGATAATTATTTTCAAAATTGTATGGTGTATACAAAATGCTAATATAAATATTCAGTGAAATTTTCAAGCATCTACATTTTACAGTCATTCATTTTTTAATCACAACAAAATAAGAAAATCATTACATGAGAAATCGAGTGAATATCAAATGTTGTAAAAATTTGAATTTCAGAAGGTCATAAAAATGTAATTTGACTTTCTTGTTGACATTTTTTTTTTGATAAAGGTAGACAAATTTATGAGGAATTTTGTATTAAAAATGTGTTTTAAAATTTGTTTACGAATTTATAACTCAAAATAATTTGCAAACTTTCGTCATTTTTACGTATTTTGTCAATATTTGAACTTTAAATGCTTATAGAAAAAATTGTGACTGGATTTTTAATTTTTTTCATCTGCCTTTGAAACAATATACTAGGAGCTTTTTATTACATTTTCAAGCTTTTTAACCAACAAATAAAATTTCGTGTACCTATATAGTCATATTTATTTTGGAGTTGCTTCAAAAACCAAAATCGATTTTCTCGAAAACAGATTTTGCGTAAAAATTCCCCGATTTACTTAATTTTTCTTTTGTTTTTCACGGCACTTTTGAAAACCACCAGGACATTTTTATTTCTGACCCCCCAAAGTACCAACTAGATTAACTTTCCTATCAGAAAAGTAAATCTAGTTGAAGAAAATCAAAGTATTTACTATTTTTACTGTCCTAAAATTTGATGACAGACTCAAAAATAAAAAATAAAATTAAAATTAAAAAAATTAAAAAAAACACATCATTGGAAAATCAATACATTCATCACTTCGCTCAGAATCTAAAATGTAATAAGATCAAACTTCAAATTCGAGTTAGAACAGTCTGAACAGGTTAACCTTATCTGACTAACCCTAAACTGTTATAACTTTAATTATAGGTACCTATTATATATTTTACTAATTTATGGGTGAAACTAAACAAATTTTGAAATGTGAGTAAAATGATGAACATTTTTTTTTGGTGGGGGGTTACATTTGCGGTGCAGGGCCGGTTTGATCCATATTTCCCGGGCCGAAAAAATTCGCCAATCCGCCCCTGAATGTGCACAATGTTATTAGTGCTTTTATCCCAAAGAAAAGTTATTTATTTATTTATTTATTAGGGTTATGGCTTCAACTACCAAGGTCATTAGCCTGTGTTACTATGGGGGAGGATACTGTAGATTTGTGTTTGTTTTGGCAAAATTTTTGATTTGGGCACTCGTAGGTATCTGCCATGCCCGGTCGGGGGGGGGGGGGATGGTGGTCTCTCTCTCCAGACAGATGTCTGCCCGGAGAGAAGTGTCGTCCGTGAGCGAGGTTCGAACCGGCGATGGTGCGCATTGCAACCAACGCCTTACTCCGCTCAGACACTCCATCCCCAGTTAATTATTATAAATCTTTAAATTCAATTATATTTATAAAATACAATAGCATAGTAAAAATGCATCAAACACTTAAATTGCTTTCAAGTTATTGTAGTTATTTTAGTGACCAGTATTTGTGGCATTTTGTAGAATACGTTTATATTTTCTTTCATAAAAATAGTTTAAAAATGTATGCTTAAGTAAAATTATTCAATTTTTTGAGAAAATCCCAGTCAATATTATTCTAATAATGCTCATTTAAAAGCATATTGAGACAGAAATATTTGATAAAACTGCAATTAAACAGAAATATACGTTTATTATTTTATAATTTGATGTTTAATGTACCTAAAGTATAATGGTATATATAGTATATACATATAAAAAATTGATTTTTTTAGTTGGGGGGGGGGATGAATATAACAAAAAAATATAATGCTCTAATATGTATTTGAATTTTCAAGTATGCATTTATACGCATTACATTTGTAAAGAAATTCTCACATTTCGGATGATGGAGTTAAAAGGTTTTGAGCCACTGTCATTAGGTTATTAGGTTGTTAATATAAAATCTTCAAACTGTTAATAAAGTTCTGAAAATGTGTTAAGTGTTTAATTGATATAGCTTATAGATAATTTGTTTCATCTACACTGACATAGACAAGAATTTTAAACCGGAGGGGGGGAGGTATATATTCATTATTTCTAAGATAAATCGCATGGTAATGCCCCTTCACTAATGTCAAATACAAAAAAAAAGTTATGGAGTAATCTATTCTTCAAAATTCCTCATATCCACACAGTAAATGTGCTCATTTTAAACTAGGTATTTATATATCAAATTTATTAAAATTATAATCATAAAATATCACAGAGAAATGTATTATTAATTAAATTATTTATATTAAAAAATATACTAATAATGTTTATTTTATTTTTCATTTATTATACCGATAGTTACATACATAATATTAGGTACCTAATTTTTTTTATTTTATATTTAATTTCTACTGATTTTCATAACTTAAATATTTCAAACTCATTTCTTTGATTGTCATAGAGTTAAATATTTTTATTTTACAACATTTGTAAATACAGTTCATGAATTTTTCCAAATATTTATTGACGCATTAAATTAAACATATTTTAGTTTGTTGAAAAGTTAGGTATATATTTTCCATCACTTGTACCTTTATCTCTTAACTATTGATATTATCGTTTTAAATATTCGATCATCAAGCAGGTAAGATATTATAAAAAATTTTCAAGAAAAATAGGGGTTTTTTATCAATCTATTGGGTAGCCTAACCAACTAATTGTACTTACTAAAACGTTTATATTGATATTTATTAACTACTTTAAAATGTCATACTTTGTATTCAACATATTATTATTATTTTGAAATATGTTTAAATTAAGTCACTTACTTCTAAATGCCCACATGGTCAAGTTTTGCATGTGTATGTTGTATAGCCTCATGTCATTGGCACACTTTAAGTTTGTTTGCGGAGCCGACCAAGGGTCACCATATAGGATGTTTGAGATAATCTGGCCCAACAAAAGTGGTTTTCTAGAAGACATTTTGCTGGTGTCATTCTGTCGGAAAAGTCCAAGACTTCTGGACTTGGAATTCTGTATCTTCTGTATCCACGGGTTTTCAGCAACTATGTTACCTTTGGTCGAAGCCTCTGCTGGCTGTGTAGTTTTTGTGGTTGTCTCACTTTTCACCTCGTATGAAACCTCCGAGTCTGGTCTTTCGGTGTTCGTTGGATCATCTACATAATACGTAACTTCTGTTTGGGACTGTTGGTAGGAATTGATTTCGTCTGACGGATTATCTTCTTGTGGAGGTAATTTTTCGATGATCGGTTCATCACTCACCTCTACCGAAACCTCTGCTGTGGTTAGTTTTCCAATTAGCAGCTCTTCTTCCGTCGGGTTTAATGAAACATCTGATGGTGTTGTATTGGTTTCGTTCACTTCGTCTTGGCCAAATACCGATGGCACCGTGGTGAATATGCCATCATCTGTCGGAACTATTTCAGACCAATCGGATTTGCTGTCTTCCTCTTCAGAGAGTGGAAATTCCGATGCCGAAATATTTTTCGTGAAACATGACAGGTGCAGCACCAATACTATTGTTACACTAGCCGCAGACGAAAACGATGAGACGCGGAAATGCATTATGACATTCGCTTATCCCACGCGACTCTTATTATTAATACATTTAATTTACAAAGCTGGCGTCGTGTAACACTGAGCTTTGGCCTGTCGTTTAGCCGTATTTAATATTCGTGATATATTGCGTTGAGATTTGCAGGACGGGTTTGTGTAGCTGTCACGACTGGTTCGGATAGACACTGCGACTGGTTTGCGTTGTGCATAAACGTATTGACAAACGGAAATAGAGACAAAACGAGTCTAGAAAACACGATAGCCTTTACACACACGTTTTATTGGTAGGAGTTTGTAACTTTTGCTCTCATCAAAACAGGATTTTATATTTTCAAGTTCACGGTTCACATTATATATCCTGTACAATTATTATGTGTGGCATTCCGTTGTTTATTATTTACCTACGAAAATAATAATATTATACTTTAGTATTACAATATGTACACATTTATTTATTTTCCGTTAAATTATATTAATAAAATATGTCCCTATTATTTATTATCATCAGTTACAAAAGTGATCAATAGAATTAGTCTCAAACTCTCAACGACTTTATACAAATTGTATAAACAAGTAAATTCGAATGTTTAGCCTTACGATGTATGAGTATTAACCAAACTTGTGAATATAATATTAAAATATACTAAACTATACTATAGTATATTAAATCAAGCATATTTTTTACTATCAATAAACACCTCTCCCCACATAGCAAATATACCATATTAATATTCAGTTGATATCTAGATTATGTAGATTCTGAGATATTCAATTTTGTATATCCATTAATTGTTAATGTGATAAACGACAATTGATGTTCAATATTATATATATTTTGAATATTCCTGATATATATAACTTCAAATATTTCAAAAATTGTTTCAATAGGATATTCCTAAGATATTTTTTTAACTATATCGATTATACATTTATTAATACATATCATACTAATATCCGAATATGTATATCTAAACATGTATATAGGCTTAATGTATATTAAATATCTAACTTGAAATATTTCAAAAATTATTTCTATTCAATATTCCTAAGATATTTTTTAATTGATATCAATACTGCAATTATATAGACATATTATTCTAATATCTAAATATGTATATCTAAATGTATACATATGTTTAATGTCTATGGAATATCTAAGTTTAAATATTGAAATACTTTTTCAAATTATTATATTATATTATAATATATGATACAGAAAACCAATTTTCTTTGGCTATATAAATTATAAAGTATCCATACAGAATAGGAAAATAAATCATTTGTTTCAGTTTTTAAAAATTACTGTTTATCAATTAATTATTATTATTATTACTGCTAAGAGTATTTGACATTAACGTTGATGAAAGAAAAAGTGGTTGTCGGTAAAATGCTTGCTGTGATTGACGACGGGGGTTTCAGATCCGGTCCGCCTCCGGATACCGAACATTATCGGTGACAGAGGACGTGCGGTGCCCGTGCCGATCACTTTGTGATCTCTTGGGCACGGGTTCTCCGCTGGTTCTTGGCTCGACCGTGATAGCAGCGGTAATAATATAAATCATGGTCGTGGACTCGGTTCAAACACCGTCGGGGTAGAACGTCTTGTCTATTGTACTATTGTGTTGCGGGGGTGGAGGCCGGGGAGTCGGGCTAGGCATGTCGTTAGTGAAGACGCCGTGCCGCCGTAGCATGACGGTCGCGAGTCGGTATCGACAATCGAGGGCCGATAAGATAGTTTGCGGCGGGCGGGGGACTGCCACAATTTTAGATATTGTTGAGGTTCTTCATATTGACCACGGTTATATTTACCACAGTTCTGTGTATTTATATTGTAGATAACCGAGATAACGACATATTATTGATATCCCATAACAATGTAATTTACTAGCTGATTTATAAATAGCTACTATATGGCAGCCGCCCCAAACTTAAAATCGATTTATAATTTTATAACCTATAACAATAACAATACAAATCATAATCTCTAAAGGCGCGTAATATACCATTGTCCATTAATCTTTTTGTGAATCTGTGTCTGGATACTCGCTATAGCCTATAGTAGTTTAGTGTCTAATTATTTATGTTTGGACGGTTGATGTTGGACAGTTGAAGCATTCGGTAAGTAACATATTATTTTAAATATTTGTAATAGCTGGTGTAGAATATATAGGTACCTAAATTACAATTAAAAAGGGAAATTTAAGTAACTATAAGTCCAGGCTGCAGAGTATTTTCAAAGATATTTCCGATCACTTTCTTCAAAATATATTATTGTAAAGGTGATCCACAATAAATATTATAATCAAGAATGTAAGGGAGCCTTATATATTGACATATTATACCAACTATACTATGTATAATGCTAATTCTGAATTCTGATGTATCGGTGAAACTTACATAAATATCATTGCTTTATATTTTTATTGTACATATTTTATAAAAAAACACAACGCTACATATACATCACTTTGTTATGATTATGACATTCTAATCAGGTCCATCGCTATAGGTATTTAATCAAACTATATTGTCTCTTTTTTATAATGCAATATTTATTAAAATAATTAGTAAAATATAAAACATTGTAGGTACCTAAGAACCTTTTTTTATTAGAAATAATTCTCCAGCTTCAACTTTGAGGGAGGTTTCTGGTAATAAAATGGTTTAGTTTTTATAGTATAGGTTCCTTTAATTTGTTTGTTGCTCTAAACCAGTCTAACCTAATTCTGAAAGTATCGATAACACTTATTGTTGTTATAGGTAATATGTTATTGTGACATACAGCTAACCAGATATAGTTTTGTGTTACGGTCCATTAATATTTTTTTTTAACTTTCATATTATCAAGATATCACACCTAGCTTACCTATATATTATATTGTTTTCAGATTTACCTACAGATGCATGGTAAACAAGCTGCCCGTTATTAAATTAAAAGTTAATACAGGTGTACCAGGTACATATAATATATAAGAATACATCAAGTATTAACCTACAGTACCTACCTACTGTTTTGTATACTATAATATGTACTATATGTATTATGTATAATATAATATATAATGTTTAATACTCCAATTATACATATTAATTATCAGCGCACTTATTAATATTATATTATCTACAATTGTATTGCAATTTAATAATTCTTATAAAAATGCACCGAATTAATCATTTAAGTAAATCTACTAAACGTAGAAGAATATTAAATGAACAAATACTAAACAAACATTTAATTGAAATTGATAGTATTCCAAATAGAGAAAAAATCAATAATGATAATATTAAAGTTGTAATAAATAGTAGTGTAGACCCTAGTACTAATGTTTGTGAATCTTCTACTACAAATGAATTGAACACTGCAGTGATAAATATAAACCATGACACTTTAGAAGATAAAGCTGATGATTGTTCTAATTTCTCTGATAGTGAAAGTGATGAATACATTCCGCAGGAACAGCCCTTACCTAGTAAATTAGCAAATTGGGCTATTAATCATAATGTGCCAAATAACACTTTTACTGATTTATTAAAAATTTTAAAATATCATAAATGTTTTAATAATTTCCCTACTGATGCAAGAACTATTTATCATAATTATTCAAATGTTTCTTATAACCAACAAATAGATGTTAAAACTGTACCACCTGGTATATACTACCATTTTGGAATTTCAAATGGTATAAAAAAATACATTGATAAATATTTTTCTTGTGACAATATTAAATTGGTTATAGGAGTCGATGGTTTACCATTAACTAAAAGTTCTAGCAGTACATTTTGGCCAATATTAGGGTACATAAGACAAGAAAGCCAAATAGTATTTCCCATTGGAATATATTGGGGTAATGAGAAGCCTTCAGATAGTAATATTTTTTTAAAAGACTTTTTAGATGAAATAAATGATCTTATTTTGAATGGTATTAGTATTGAAGTGTTTGATAAAAATAATAAATCTAGTATTGTTATAAAAAAAGTTATTATTGATGCTTTTTGTTGTGACTCTCCAGCCAAAGCATTTTTATTAAAAATAAAAGGACATACTGGTTTTTATTCTTGTACCAAATGTACAGTAGAAGGCACATTTCTTCAAAGGCGAGTATGCTTTCCTAATTTAAACTGTACTAAAAGGACTCATAAGGATTTTGTTGACCAGAATAATGAACAATATCATCCATTTGGAAATGTGTCAGAAATAATAAATATACCTAACTTTGATATAATTGAAAATTTTCCTCTAGACTACATGCATTTGGTATGTTTAGGAGTAGTTAAAAAAATGCTTATGTTATGGAAAGGAAGTGGAGATATTGGAAGAGTAAATGTTAATATTCAAAAGATGCCATTAAATGTAATTAAAATCATATCAACCAGGCTTTTATTAATAAAAAAAGATATTCCATGTGATTTTGGTCGAAAGCCTAGGAGCTTAGATGAGTTGGCCCGTTGGAAGGCTACCGAGTTTAGGCAATTTTTGCTTTACACAGGAATTATAGTACTTCATTCAATTATACCAAATGAAGTTTATGATCATTTTTTATGTTTACATGTTGCAATGATTATATTTCTGAGTCCTAATTATAACAATTTGTCAACTTTTGCTAATTCATTATTAACTGATTTTGTTAACAATTTTGGATCACTATATGGAGTTCATTTTATTTCTCATAATATACATGGGCTCATACATTTATATGATGATTATAAAAAGTTTGGGTGTCTTGATCAAGTGAGTTGCTTCAAGTTCGAAAATTATATGAGCCAGTTAAAAAAAATGGTACGCAAACAAGATAAACCCCTTCAACAGGTTGTAAGAAGGTACCAAGAACATAGCATACAAATAGTTAACAATACAAATTTAAATGATCAACCAATATTTGAGATGTCTCATATTGAAGGTCCACTAATTGATGGGACAGATTCACCGCAATTTAAAGTTCTAATTTTGGAAAAAATGAAAATAAAAATCCATTCTGATGCTGACTCGTATGTTGGTATAAATATAAATGGAGCATTATATATAATTAAAATAGTAAATATTTGTTATAGTGTACATTTAAAAAGAGCGATTGTGTTGGGTAGAAAGTTTGAAACTCTAGAAAATTTCTTTAATCATCCTTTAGAGAGCTCTAAGTTAGGAATTTATAAAGTTAATGGTTTTTCTAAAGTAATATCTGTATGGAATATATGTGAAATTACTACTAAATATATTGTTTCAACTACTGACCAAGGGTTCACTGTAGCTATACCAATTATACATTTTGAAAATTAGTAAAAATAAAATGTATTATTGTAAACTATACAGTTACTAGATTAATAGGGCCGTTCTTACTGTGTTCAGTAAAGTGTTCCTTAACCGGCAGAATTCTATTGGTAAACATAAAAGAAATTTTTCCGCTTAGAGTTAACAGACACTATAGAATAACTAGAGTCCTAACTTAACATTAATTTTGTTTGATGTATAATGATTATTCACCATTAAGTAGATAATAATTTTAAACTAATTCTCTATATTTATTAACATATAAATGTAATCTTATATGTAATTACTCTTATTGTATATTATAATTACTATACCTATTAGGAAGTAATTTAATTGTTTAGAATAGGTTCAATTGTATCTTATAAAATGTGGTCGGTTGTACACTTTTTGGATGACAGCAGTGTTGAAGCGGTCCCTTCCTATTGGGTAGACAATGATAAATGCGCTTGGCCAAAAAACAACTACCGTGCTGCTAAATTGAGAGACAATAGGGCAAAGCCAAACAAATTTGAATTCGATTTTTACAGAGCAAAAGTTCTATCAAAAAACATTCGTAAGTTACTATATTTGTATGTTTTCTAGCAAGTATAATATGTATGTTTCTATACTGCTTCTAGCTAGGGTAAATACTTAACTCTTTTAAACACAAACATGATATTAATAAAATAAAAATCATACTATACCATGTTTAATAATGTATCATGTATATTAAAATTATAAATAGCTTCGCTGATAGTAGCTAAAGAAAAAACAAACCGTGCACAATTTACAACAGATATATCCGATTATGATGATAATAACGAAACACAAAATCTACTAATTAGATCAGCTTCAGGTTCAAATTTTCAATCCGTCTCAAGTATGTAATTATTATTGATGCAGAATTTTTTAAAAATATTAATTAAAAATATATTAATGCCTTTGTATCAGGAACTTTTGATAACAATTCTAAATATAACCTTGGACTAAAAATTAAAACAAATAAGAGAGAAAACCTATCACATAAGTCATTGTTTAACGTATCTGAATTATCAGATGATGATGGATTTAATATGCTATCAGATAATTGTAAGTATAATAAATTCTTATTTAAAGTGTATGTATTATGCTTCATAAGTTAATTTTTATTATATTTTAGCGATTGTTGTAAACGAAAAATATGATTCTCCAGTATTCAAAAAACAAAAAATATATACATCATCAGCTAACTCTAATGATCAAAATTTAGAAAATTCTCCGAGTGCAGATATTTCAATTGAGTCTCAACAATTAGATAATGTTATTGTAGAAAGTTTGTATTAATATATCAGTAATTATAAATAGTAATAATACAATACAATAAAAATGTTTTATCCATGTTTTATTCTCAGTTATTTCTGATGTCGAACCAGCTATAGCTGATATTCCATCAACAACTTTGGTTAGTACTGGTAATAATGGCAATTCTAGCTTATCTATCCATAGAAATAAAGGTAATTGCAGATTAAGTTACTTAAATTGAACACATTTGTTAAATAATTATGTAATTCATTAATTATTATTTTTAGCTATTAACAAAAATACCAATCAACCAAATTCTACAGATTATGGGACAAATCCAAAAAATGACATGGCTGAATCAGGGTCTCAGAGTAATAATAATGCCGGTAGATATTTATTTTATAATACCTACATATAGAGTTGATTATGTTTGTACCACATGTTATCATTCAAGCATACATTCACATTATAATTGAAGAATAATTATTTTATTTTGATTATATCATTTCCTCAATGTACACATTCTATATTGCTTTAAAAAAAAATAATTTAGTAATAATCCTTTATTTTTGCTTTTAGTTAATAAAACACTCCTGAACTATATGGCTTACATAAAAATAGAAATAAACAAAATATCTGATGTGCAGCAGCAAATATTGCAACAGATTTCTGTTTTAAATGAAGGATGTAACTCGAACAAAACACCTGCTGCACTAGTTGAAGAAATCGATTATTTTATATCCACATGGCCTCTATCAAGTCATGACGAATTGAATGATATGGAACAAAAAATACAATTCGAGAAAGATTTTAAGAATAAAGTGGTAATTAATGCATTAAATATATTATGTTAGTTTTCACATATATATACTTATTTTCATAATATCAGTGTTGGGGCAAATAACCTGCAGAGATTATGCGCTTTTTCAATTTTTCACATGGCAACAGTCAATTTTGGCTCTAGCCTTTATCAATTCGATAATTTTTCTGAAAATCCTGCCTTAGTGAAATGACTTTTAACTGTTTGAATGTGTCTCTTTCACTATTTTTATGCTCTAGACCGCCACGTATGTAAATAATAATTGTTGAAGTTTATAAACATTATTATAGTTATTATTGCAGATAAATCAAAATTAAAATAAATAATACTAAATAACACTTCTCCATAGAAATAACAATTGGAAAGACTGCAGTGTCCCAAGACATATACATACTATATAAAAATTTCCGGAAATGGTCAATTATTGTGTATATATATTTTATAGACATCATATCTAATTAAAATATCATGTCTTTAAATTTATCATACATTTTAAATAAATAAATCTAAATAAAATGAGTTAGAATCATCAAGTGATACACGGACAGTGATAACTAAAGGTCTCAGATTTTAAAGCATAGTATGCTTATTTTTTATATACCAGATAAAATTCTAATTTTTACACAAAAATTCTATTTATGTTATTCTGATTCCAAATAAATTACTTAATGTTTGCTTTTTTGCAATTACCTATTCCAGTTGTGGCATTTTAATATGTTTATTATGTTATAGTAATAAACAAAGTTTTAATTTAATTAATAAGAAATGTATAAACCCAGATACGGACTAAATGGTTATTTAAAAATAATTGTTTACGTTGAAAATCTAGTAAAATATATGTTAGTTAATTATTTTTTAAAATTTAAATTAATGTTCAATTTTTTATTCGTTTTTATATCTGGTTTGTTAATTTTTGGTTACAAATTGTTCTGGCTTTTTTTTAAAAATAAGTGCTTTTATTAAACAATTATATGCTTTTTTTTATTATTAATATAGTTCTTTAAAATCCGAGCCCTACTGATAACATTTTTAATCTTGATATAAATGTCAGAAATCAGCAATTTTCATAGTTTTCATTCTGGTTTTAATTTTTTAGTATTGCCAAATCCAAAGAATATATATTAAATTTAAATTATAAAATAAAGTATTTACAAACTTAGATCATATTTTGAGTTGTTTTTCCTATTATGCCTATAATACATATTTTTATATTTATTAATTTATATTAATATATTATAGGTCTGTGAACTTATAAGAGTTGGAGGTAAATCGCTCAAAGACATGATCTACAAGATGATGAAAAAAATATTTGCAGACACACTTCTTCAAAAATTCACTTACTTTGGCTTAAGAAACAAATGTAATTTTTCGACGTTGTATACAAATAAAGCAATCTTTGGTAAGTATATTATTATCATGAAGGTTTTTATAATATTAATAGATATTATGTTATATAATTTTAATTTTTGTAGATGCTATAAGAAAATCAAAATACAAAGCAGCAACAGACGATGAAATAGTTGTCATAATTGGAAAATGGCTCACCACATCATCGTCAAGAATAGAAAAAAAATAATATAAATAATATATATTTTATATTGTGCATAATATTATTATAACCAGTTAAATATTAATAAAGACATATTAATTTTAAAAGATATTGTGAAAATTATTGATTTTTAAATAGTAAAATTTTCCTTTTTAATATCCTAGATATATTTCATTCTATATATTTGTATGATAAATATTATTTAGATTCACATGATATAAGAATAATATTCCTAAGATATTAATAGATACCAAACTGAGAGTGTAGTAATATCCAATAGATATGTATCTAATATAAAAGTTAAGATATCCAGGGGATGTTGCAATTTACTTATTAAATGAATATTTGATTTATGATATCTACATAATATATCAGTAAATATATTGCTGAAATAAAATATTTTAAATATACAATATATAAACAATTTTGGTTCATAAGACATACATACAATATACAAGAGATATTAAAAAATTTTATAGGGAGTTAATTGATATATTTCACAGATATATATATTTTAATGGGAATATTATTTTGATATATCTACAATATTTTTATGCTATGTGGGTCGGCGAACGATAATATTATGGTCCTATATGAGTATAATATGATGGAATAAATCAAAATATTTTTATGTTATTCAAGGATAAGTGTATTTTTCCTGATTATGACAACTTGTAAAACGTTTAAAGCGAATGATTTTTACTTAAATGTACGTAGGTAGTTTATTTAAATAAAAAAAGTTTTTAGATATTTTGAAAGTAGCGTAGTGGTACAAAATCTGATGCCGTTGGAAGGGGAAAACAGAAACCAATGAACTCACTCAGTTTTTAAAAACCTTATTTTAATATAAAAAAAAATGTGATTTATATATATATATGCTTAAATTTACTTAACCAATTTTCGGGGACCGAATTTAGTCTTAGTAGGTAATAATAGTATGCATTATACATGTTAAATATTCTGATTTGAATCATAATACCTATTAAAGTAATATTAAATATAAGTAAAAAGGGATAAATACATATATTATTTTGAAGTATAATTCTTCTGAAAAATTGAAACAAATTGTAAATAAATGAAAATAACTGTTTTTTCTGTAAGGAAAAATTTGATTTTTTTGCAAGTACGGTGGGTACTGGTGGTATTCAATAATTGTATACACCAAGTATAGATTCAGATTAGAGTTTCACACAGTTTTAAGCCAATTTTGTAATTATATTGTTAGAGGCCTTGCTTTATTTTTTATTTTTTATTGGAAACTTCAAATGGTTACTACCTCCTAGCTACCTAATTATAATTTTAGCGTTTATAATAGTTTTTCTTAACTTTTGTATTGTAATTTATAAAGTTATATTAGTTTTAGAAAATTTATTAAGTTCTAGGATTTGGTGTGATTATTAATTTGTCAGGAATGTTGTTTTAATATGTTTTATTATTTCCTGTTCATATTTAGTATGTAAATAAATATATATGTATATTATACATACGTTATGTTAATGATATATTATGATTTTGTTTGCTACTTGGATTCCACATATTGGATATATATTATAGATACGTTTCTATCCGTTTTGAATTGAATACTATTATAAATATTGGGACATTGCCACATTGGGTGCGAATAAATTTACAAATGATTTTCAAGCTATTTAATTTTTGATTGAAAAATATATCGATCCTTATATTGTGATAGTTATTTTGAGTGCATCAAAGAGTACTAAATATATGTGTGTATATGTTTGTGTTTTTTAATTTTCGAGAGTGAACATGGATTAAATATATTTTAATAAGTACTTAGGTATGTATTAACTGAAAAAATTAAAGAAAACGTGTAGATTAAGAGCATTTTACAACATATTTTGAATTTGATACTAGATTTTAAATATTTTTGAACTAAATTGAGTGGGTATACTATTGTGTTTTAATAACACATATTTTTTTTTTTTTTGGCACTATATGTCTATATATACATTTTGTTCCACAATAGAAAATAACAATTTGTTTAGGTACTGTAAAACATTTATTTAAATTATCTTATAATAATTGTATATTGTCTTAAAAATGATATCAAACTTCTTGCAATTTAATTTATATAGAATAATTAATACATTATAATATGGCTACTGGTTTGCAACAAATCACAATCACAGTTTTCTGCACACATCTACAACTGTAATCTGTAGATAAACACGGTGACCAAAACATAACTTTTAATAACTTACGAAACTGTTTACATAATAGTATTAAAATTGTGTTGAAATTCTAAGATTCTCTAACAGTTCTTAATACAATATTGTGACCGAATTTTATGAGTAGGTGTTATAAAGAGGTAAGTACACATTCGGTATTTTATTATTGTCTTATTATATAAAGGTATGACACTTCAAACTAAAATGTCGTCCAATCAAGAATGAATTAAACTAGGTGTAGCTATATAACAATAGTCATTGATTTTGACCAGGAGATAACATTTTTTGAATTTTGGTAATTAAACATTGTACTAGAGGCTGATTAATGATATTATTAGTATAAGCATTGATAGACTAGTTATTCATAATCAATGGTATAATAGATACTTTAAACGTCATAAAAATATAATAATATATGCGATGAAATATTGCAATATAAACTTCTAGATTTGGATTTACTGTTGAGTGTCGTATATATATACTATATTGGAGACAATGGACATAATATTTATTGAAATAGAATTATCAATCATATTTATGAATAAAAAGTATAGTAAAATGTACAATAATAAAAAGTCGTACATAATAGAGACCAGGTGTTCGACACTCGTCTTGATTCCCTTATAAATCATCTCATTCGAAAAATGATTCAGAACGAACATCAATTTACTAAGTTCTTATTGGAAATGTCTAACAGTTTTAGTGATCATAAAAATAATTCATGAGTTAAATAATATTCTCAAATTGAATAAATATAATAAAGTAATGATCATGATACGAATTCCCTATTTTCAATACAATTTATTGTATTTAGCTATTTAAAAATATAAGAGCTATTAGCTTTGTTCAATAATATAATTTAATTTTGTTTGAATAGGTAAATAACTATATATAATAATTTAATTATGACGTCGATGAATTTTTTTTTAAATTACCAACTTTATTTAAATTCTGAAAAATTATTAATATGGTTTAATTGTTGATGTGTATACAAACCGTAGGTATATTATTTTTTAAATGCATTTATTATTGCAGTTAAACTTAAATATATTATGCGTGTTACGTAATATTGCTATAAAGGATTTGGACGTATTTATAAAATATTATTGTATTGATATAAAATCAAAAACTAGTTTACATACCGTCTAAATTTTCTATGAAATGTTCATAAACAACCAGCTTCAAGGAAAATCATAAATTTATAAGGAAATCGTTTTGTGTGTTATAACTTCACTATTAGGTATAATATTATGTTTAAACTTTTAAAGACACTGAGATAGTGATGTGTTATATATGGTTGAATATGGATCCTCCTTCGTGTCTTCAACTATATAGACTAATAAGTAAGAAGCGATTTATTTTTTAAGATGCTGGTCACAAAACCAAACAACTCATAATTCAATTTTAGTAACTATTAATACGCTTCGGGTGAGGGTAATCCGATAGAACGTGGTCGAAGGTTAAGTAGTGATCAAAAAACAGCGAACATTCGATTTTTAAAAATATTTAGAAATATAATATAAAATGGTAACAAAAAAAAAGTAATAAGTATATGATAGTTATAAAATATTCACAAATACAAAACTGTTAAAAGAAATGTGGCAAATCATAAGGCATAATATATTACATAAGGTTAAACAGCTGTATATCAAAGATTATATCCAACATAAGTTATAAGTTATAGCATAATTGTTATAAAATACTCGGAATAAAGTTTTTTTTAAACGTATTACTAGTGCAACTTTTGGGTATCATTATTTAAAAATGAATAAATACAAATAAGTTGTATTTAATAAATTATAACTGAATGACTGAGAAAACATTTTGGAATACATATTATAACAGTATAACTTTTTGCGTGAAATTTTTTTCATTTTTTTTGCAGTAATACGATCTTTTCGACCACAATTCGAGTTTTGAACGTTTTGATAAATAATTACTTCCTACTGGGTTCTTTTCATAATATATTTGTACAGGCAATTACCTCTGTACAAATAAGTAAATTAATTTTCCATAAAAACACGGTATTATCTACTTAATTATACCTTTTTTGTATGTAAATTTTGGTAAAACTGGAACGGTGTTTTTACATGAAAAAAAAACCCAGTAAATTCCATTGTTACTAATTTTTGACCTGTAAGAATAAACGTAAACTAATTTATACCTTATCATAGTTTAACCATTTAAGTTTAGAAATGTAATAACTTTATGAGATAATTTTTGTTTATATTAAACCTATAGGTGAAATTTATTGAAAATATAATAAATTGTGCATAGAAAATTTGTAAATGTAATTTTTTTTGATAATACTTGTATAAACTTAACCCTGAAAGTTAAAATTGACAACTTGAAAATCTATGGAATTTACATAGGTACGCCTTTTTCTTTAAATTTCAAGTTTTTAATGGCAGTGCTGTGAGACTATTTTTCAGACACTACCATAAACAACATTTAAAGATACTCAACTTGGACCCAAATTATTATATTCACTTTGAATTCTTCAATTTTCTACAGACGAGAATTGATTATCTGCAATTATCCATTCTGCCGAATTATAACATATAAGATCCTTTATAACGGTGCTGGGGTAACGTTTTTCCGGAACCATTATAGCAACATTTTAAAGATTTCAATTAGAGCTAAAACTAGTTTTAAAAGGGTATACAAAAAAAAAGTCGTTTTTGTTTTTAAGTACGGTCAGTTCTAAGTAATATGGTACTGTTGGTGCGTTTTAAATTCATGCGATAGCGTAGGACCTCCTCGGCCGTTCACCGATTTTATGTGAGTAAATCTTGATTGCCTCAAACAATGATTAATATAATATAGCCTTTAAATTAAATTGTCTATTATTCATCTGCAGATGTGTATTCTTGAGCCGGTAATGAGGTTGGCCATCCGACTTGATGAACAATTTTTTTAAATAATTGCAAACAACTGTAAAATAATAGTTAATAATTGTAAAACTAATATCCAAACTTGTAAATGCTCCTTCAGCAGCCGTTAAGACAAAAGTTAGTCTCGAACGCCAAAATAATGTAGTCCCCCGTGCTCTGTTCGATCAATTCTGGACGAACTGTTTAAATAATTCTAAATTTAATAATAGATTTTTTTTAATGATCGAAACACTTAGGAATCATAAATCAAAATCGGGGGGCAAGTTACGTGACAAAATGCAAATGCGATTTCATAATTCCCCTCTCCGATTTAGTATCATTTACGATTCAACTGAAATTAAATTTACAAATGTTTAATATTTACAGTGAACTGGCATTTAATAACAATATAAAAAAATTAAGTAAGTATGACGTCAATTTTCGGAATTACAACTGCGATGTGTACGTCACCGAGCGTTTTGGATTAACTGCTGCTCCGGATGAATACCTATGAAAATATTACTTGGAAAATAATAAAAATTAAATTAAAAAATATTAATTAAAATTCTACAGTTCTATTGTTCTGATCTGTGGTATTTTTTTGTACATAGCATCAAACAAATAGACAACAATTAATAAATTACAAAATTCCAAGTGCCTATAATATTAGCTATTAGAATTATTTAAACATTTTTTATTGTTGATCGGGCATTATAATTTATCATACAAGTGTAAGTGAAAGTTTAAAGTATCTACACGATTATAATTTAAAGATTTAAACGAAACAACTAATATTGTACCTATTTATTAAAAAAAGTCAAAGCCCATATTTTCAAACTAATGAATTTTTTTGTAAGGAGTGGTGATACAAACTTTTGAGAACCCCTCTATTTTACTGTAAATTATTTAGTGGATCGTTTTTTTGAAAATGTTGATGTACCAAGATACGTAATTCAAAATTCAAATGAGTAGTTTCTTAGCTATTATAACGTTTGTATTAAGGATAATTGTCCTTAAAAAAGATTTTACATGAATATAAAATAGGTGTAAAATTGGATCTAGTATTTATTATACTTGGACATTTTTATAAATAATTAGTTTTAATATTAATGACTATAACTTTAAAACCACCATAGCCCCCATATCATATAATCCTATTACCTACCTTTTATCTTTAGAACATAAAGTAAAATAACTCATAAACTACTCGCACGAATTTTTATTTTTATTTTGAGTCATAAGTTTTAGAAAAATTATCTACTTCGGGTAGCGTAATTAAGGGGGTTGAGGGGGGATAGATCCAACCTCCAGAGCCTTCATAATATTATTTATTATATTTTATACTCACCAATGCACTTGAAAATTTAATATTTTGTGTGTAAAAAAATGTATATCCCCCCCCAGGACAAATTCCTAATTACGCCACTGATCTACTGTATAATTTTGTAGTTGAATAGGGGTGTTCTCATTTGAAATACAGAAGTTTGTATCTCCACAGGACCCTCCTTAAGTAGTACAAACTTTCTACATAATATTGAACATATTTTACGTTACTTATGATTATTTTAATGTTTTTTAAATTTTATTTAACATATTTTTGAAGTAGGTAACCTATAGGTATTGGTGGTCCCCATAATATAGGTAATAACATAATATATCATAAACATAATGTTACATCATGGTGTTTATTTTTCTTAATAGGTGCTATCGGTTTTATCGTTATGAGGAAGTATGGTTATTTCACTCTTGCTTGATCAATTGGTTAATTGGGTTAAATGGTGATTTCAATATTATATAGTACTTATATAGGGTATGATAAATAATTGCACATATATAATAATGAATGTATATTTAGGTATAGTATTCCATGTTTATCTCAGAATCAACATTGGGCATAATAATATAATATGAACATTAATTATTATTATTATTATTGACGTCAAGCATTTGTACACCATAAGTATCTACCAAAGAGCGTTTTTTTTCTTTAGGTTTTATAAAAATATTCATCCGTGACATATTATTCTAATTATATTTCTTTAGAATGTGAAATGGTAAAAAAAAGTCAAGAAGGATACTCCTCCCCCCCCTCGTAAATACACCACTGTAATATACATTAAGACTTAAATTTAGTTGTTATGATTTTCATCTGCGTGAAATAAAAATAAAATGTATTATTAAATTGTATACTTTACAATATAGATACTGTAACTTGTAATGATTCTGTTTCTTATCATTGACTGGCGACTGCAAAGTGCACAGAAGTAGGTACTAATTTATTGTACTATAATACACAGTACACAGAGCAATACAATACATACTTAACTATTTTCTTATGTCAATAAAGTAAAAGGGATGTTATATTGTGAAGTGCATTAATTCAACGAATGTAAAGCTTCAATGTTACTTAAATAAAATTAATTTCTATATTTGTATTCCATTTAAATCAACTCAATGATTTATCATTCTAGTATGATATAAATAATATACACATAGCCGTATAGTTAAAATAGGTATAGGTACATAAATATAAAATAATATTGAAAAAGGCATTTAAAATACTGCTTTTGAGCTTCTCTAAAATATAGAAGAACTGCATTTCGAGTTTGGACATTATTCCCATCGTGAACATCATGACCCTGCGGCGTCCGATTCATTTTCAGCTAAAAATATATATTTTTACTTGTAAATATTAACAAACGTAAACTAAATGGAGTTAATATGTAAAATAAACATTTATAATATACTTTTAAGACATTTGCTCATAAGTTCCTTGAATATTTTTCTGCTAGGTGCTTCCACAATTAGATTAAAAATTATAGAGTACGATAGTGCTGTCATTAAATCGGCGTTGATTTCCCAATACTTTTTCAGAGAAATAAAATCAAAAATTAATAGATTGATGATTACATTAAAATGTTAAGCTTACCAATGTCCAAAAGTTTCCATATTTTGGTTGACGGATTTGACCAATACTTTGCAACTGAACAATGAAATGTGTCAGATACATAACGTACGATAATCTTGATATGATGGTGAAAAGTTTGCACTCAATAAAACTGCTGATAAAACCTATTTGAAAATATGTTTGTTTTAACTAATTATAATAATGTGTGTTGTTCAAATGTAAAATATTGATATGGGTTTTTTTAATCTAGTTTTTGGTTTGTCTTAACTTTAACTGATGTAAGTAAAAGGCATTTTTTACATTTATATAATTCAATTTCTTTAAACAATCTACAACCATCACAACTAAAAACCACTTAGTAATTAATACTTGTTGTCATATGGGATAGTTTATTATTATAAGAGATATTTAATAAAAATGAATAATAATATATGTAATAATAAAATTAGAAAAATTATATAATTTCATCAGTATGTCTAAGTACCCTCCTAATATAAATATCTATGTAGAAGTCTCAAATCTCAGAATAAATATTAAGCAACTAAAATATGAATATCACTGAATAATCATCGTAATGTCAATAGTAATAAAATACTACAGCTAACGGAACTCATGACTGACTAAACATGATGAATATAAATCGTAATATGCTAACTAACCAATATAAAATGTTAAGTTTAATAAAAAATCATTATCATTGATTATTTTATAGTATTTATATATTATTATGATATGTAAAATGTCAGGTACCATTACAATAACCTTTAATTATTAATGTACTCTGAACACAGTACTTGTAGGTATTGCAATTATTATTTTATTTTTTCTACCTAAAAATATATTAAAAGATACAAATTAAATAATCTATTAGCTAGTATTATCCTAGATTATTAATTATAAAACATAAATATTCATTATTTTACATCTATTCACAGTAATATTATATTGTATTCTAAGTTTATATATTTTTAATAATATAGGTACTATTAATATAAAAATATCATTTCAATTATTTTATTCAAACGCTCAAAATATAATATATCATAATAATGTATTATTCAATCGATACGTATATAATAATATATTTTAGCTTAACAAAAATAATGCATAGAACATAATTTATATTATATGGAATTTAATAATTAATATAATATACTCCCAAATGAACCTAAATCAATAATCGTTTACCTGCGGAACATTTTTTTATCTATGGAATATAGTGACTTTTTTAACGAATGGCTTGAATACATTTATATTTTATTTTAAATGTGGTCGGTGGAATTCATATTTTATGTTTCTCCACGGCTACGGTTAAATCTAAATCAATACAATGTTACAGCTGAGGTCTAGACCAAGGAAAGTTGAATAGGTATAATTCTTAAAAGTATATATAATAGGTAGGTATATTATATTTTCGGGTTGGAGTCCAGCGGATGACCGCCGAAAGCAAGGGTCGCGACCCTAGGCCGAGTCGGCGTATCGATAGAGCGCTGTGGATTTTCTTTTCTTTTATAGAGAACGAGTGGTAGTTTTAAAAAAAGAAAATTATTATAATAATTAATAAAGGGTGATAAAAAAAAAAAATAATAATAACGACGTTATGATACTATGTTATCAGTGATGATAGTATAATATGATATCTCCAGCAGTATGAATCTGTACAATGGGAGCAATAATAATAATAACAATAATGACTATAGGCGATGTCGGTATATCGCAACGAGATGTTTACATAATATTATATAAACATTACAGCTGCACTACTGCAAAATATTTTATTTAGAATAGACGAATTTCCTAAAAAAGATCGTAGATTCTCTTTTTAATAATAAAATTCAGTATTAATATCCAAATGTATTAATTTTTTTTGTTTTAATTGTTTAAGACATTTTAAAGTGTATTTCATTGTGTTTCTGGATGGGTGTATGGAGTGAGAACTCCTGTATCTTTTATTTTAAAAAGAGTATCTAAACTAAACAAATTACTAATAATCGTAGTGTGTCAACTCAATGAAACATAATACAAAAATCCAGTAATACTTCAATAGATATGCTGAAGGGGATGTGGGGGGCGAAGCCCCTCAAGAGTCTATTTCATATACATTTGTCCAGCCCCCCAAGTAAAATCTTCAAATTGCGCCCATGGCATTGATATTTGTGATAATAATAATAATAATAATAATAATAATAATAATAATAATAATAATAATAATAATAATAATAGTATATTATATGGACCGGGAAGTAATAATAAATAAGAACAGGCTTTAATCGTAGGTACGGATAAAAACTAAATTGGCTACCCATAAAGAGTGATTTTATTATATCGTGGAGATCAGCCATCTCGACATTGCCCGACTGCTGGCGGACAACGCCGCGGGAAAGAAATTGGTTGACTACTCCATGGTGGGTTTAGTATATTAATAAGATCTTTACAAAAAAAAAACAAAACACAAAATAAATGACGAAAAAACTCGTATGGACCGTGCTGTCTTGTACGCTTTAGGCGAAGACCGGATACAGAAAAAACTCATTTCAACGGCGGCGTACGTGGAAGGTGTACAGGTGGCTTTGCTCGAGACACATTGTATAATAACAATTGTTTAATTGAAATTCACAGATATTATGAAATATATATACTGAAACGGAAATATAAATGATCATCGGGTTCATAATAGTAGACGTGATAATAATATAATATATAATTCCGAATAATAACGGAAACCGAAAAACTGGTTGTTTGTCACCTTACAATTGTTTAGATAATTTTTGAATGCGTCTTTTTATTTGCTGTGTGTTTTTCGGTAGACCCGAGCATTGGAGTTTAATAGTTTTTACAAATTCTAATGGTATGATTAAATTAGTAGTGGGTTCATGATGTATAAGATCCATGGATGATCTTTTTTGCTGTGGATGTTTTTCGAATTGTGCAGAATTCAAAAGTGATAAATAGGCAATAGAGATAGGTATGCAGTGAAATCGTGAAAAGTAATTTTGTCTTTCAGTATCTTAGAAAAGAAAATCATATTTTCTTCACTATACTATACATTTTATTCAATAACTATTCTATTAAAAAATTAATATTAATCGCTATCATATTATATTATACTGTTTGAGTTTAAATCAGGACCGGATTGGTATGTATCAGCCCATCGAGAGTTTCACTTCTATAAGCGGCCCATTTACATATTCAGTGGCCTAAAATGACGTCTATAATTATTACGAGCTTATAGGTGGCCAATCGTATTTTAAACATGAATTTATTTTCACTCACACTCACAGGACCGGCCCAAACTTTAAGCGGCCCACCGAGAATTTCTCGGTAGCTCGCCTCACCAATCCAGCCCTGGTTGAAATACATTTACGTGACGATAAATGGGAAACTAATAGAATTACCAAGTAAATATAAATACGAATTTTATCATTGATCGTAATTTATAATTATTTATAATCAATGGTGCTATATTACTGTAGCCAAATTAAACATAAGACTCTATCTTTGAAAAAAATGTTCATGGATTAATATTATGGGCACTTGTATTTTAAGTCATGTGATACATTTAAAATATTAATAAATGTATTAAAATATGTAATAATTATTATGTATTTATGTCAACATAATATTAAGTTACATTAATTTGAATGATATAATTTAATTTATGGGGCTATAGCTAAATATTGTTGTTATTATTCTATAGAACAGAATCAACACAAATTTACAAGATAGGTAGGTACATTGGAAAACAAAGTGAGATAAACACTCATTCTGTTTCGTATCACTCGTTTCGAGTTTGATTAACTACAGTGTTTAAATGTATTATTTAAACCCGATGAATGTTTTTACATACCTAAACATATTATTTATAAGTTTATAAGTATAAAGACACAATATTGTGAGTGTTTATTTTAAAAACATGTTTGATCCTATCGCGTTGATGCAACTAATTTACTTTATTTTATTTCACGACGTCAGTATTTATAGTTTCTAATGTGTTGTACGTCAATATGTTTAGAATATGGAATAATACTAAAGCAACTATTATTGTTATTTTTATATTTGCACTATTTAGTTCTGTCTTCAATATCTTTAGTTTTGTTAAGAGGACTCCTGCATGTGTTGTCTTAGTCTTATACATGAGTTAAGATATACAGGTTACTCAAAGTCACAAAGCTGTAAAGAAACTGGTCCCCGGTCCCCAGAGTGATGCCCAAAGTTTATTTCCAAAAATCAGCAGTTCACCATTAGAAGAAGTACAGCTATAGCGCTCTCAGTGTACATAATATTATAAATATAACGAAATAAAAGAAAATATATTACATTGTTTAATTACATTAATTTCCGTTTAGGTACTTCTCGCCGTAATCAAGGATAAACACTGGGCATCAGAAATTATGCTCCGTTCAGTAACCTGTATATCTTAAATCGTAACAAATTTTACGTTAACAATAAATTATCTATCTAATTGACCCATGATAAAATGAAAAAGTAAGATTATTAACTAGGGAATATCGGAGGATTTTATTGATATTAATTATTATTTTTAAGTAAGATATTGATCATTAGGTTCTTAATAGAATTATAAATAAAAGCCTCCTAGACGCCCTAGATAATAATCGTACTTTTACTTTTTATCATGGGTCAATTCACTCAAATTTGAGAAAATAGTTAACCTGCACAGTGTAAAATATATTATTGTGAACTTAAAATTGTCCACGTTTGTAGACGGAGGAAATACATGCGGGTCTAAACGTCCTCTTAAAACTTAAAATATAATAATATAATAAATTTATATTTACCGAAATTAGACAATGAGCCGACGACAAGCAAGTACGATATAGTCAACGAATATACGATTCTCTGGAACGTGAAGTAAATTATGTGATTCCATGGATTGTATGTAAGTCCTGGTAAATATAAGTAGCCGGTAACAATAAAACAGATGCTATGCAACAACAAGCATAACATAAATCCTATTGTTCTATTTTTCTAAATAAAAAATAAAACATAAAATTTATCATGCAAGTAAACCGATTTAAACAAAATATTTTATTATTCTATTTTTTTTATTACTTACTACTGAAAATTTTAATTTGGATTGTTTGATACGCAAGTATATGAAAGCCGCTGCAAGACCAACGAGGTATGTTGTGATCCTATAATGACTCTTTATGTAAATTCTTTGGAAATGTTCAGTTGTTCTGAGATTTTTAATGTTACTAAAAAATCATAATTTGAACAATTATTTTTAATTTTAAACAACCACGTTTATTAAAAATAAATCACTTATTCTTTTATAATTAATAATATATGTAAGTGGATTTAAGAATACTATGTATTTTTATGCGTACAGTAAGTAGTAACATACAGTTACTATATGCTAACAGTAACGTATGTATAGTGATAGTTTTTGGGTTTACTACACGTACAAACATAATATTATTCAAATTTGAAATGAAAGAATAAAATGGAACACGGTCAAGAAACATAATTTAAACATGGAAGTAATAATTTTTTTATGACAATTTACATACTATGTCATATTATATCGATGAAAAAATTGTCTGTTTAAACTAACTACTTTGATATTTTTTTTAACTTTAAGATATTTATAAAAACGAATTACCTAATTTATAAATTTATTCTATAAAAATTCTCGTTATAAATATAATAAGGTCATTAGCTTATATATTTACATAATCGTTTCTAGTGAAACATATTATTTAGTATTTACCCATGGAAGTATGGCATCACTCCCCATTGTTTATTGTCATAAATTGATTTTGCTGGTAAATAAATAGATACAGCAAAGATAGCGCCATAAATACAAACACCAGCTTTATTCCATCTCCATATAATATAGGTCAAGAAAATTCCAATTATGAAAAAATGCATGTCACATGCTAAGTACCACGAGTGTAGCATACACTGAAAATGATATCATTAAATTATTATAATACACGTATCTACTGATGTAGGAACTAAAAAAATATATATTATATAATAATATCATAAACATAGTGGCGAACACAATTAGTTTAAATATATTAAAATGAAGGTCATTGTTTTGCATGAACGTGTACAACAAAATTCATAACATCATATTATTATGTTTGTATAATAATAAATTCTTATTGACTTTTTCAATCTCCTAAAAACAATACATTATGTACAAACATAATTTGGTTTATCTATAGCAAAAATAATTAACAATTTATTATTTTATAATAATGCAAAAATATTGTCTTAGAACTATATCGTCTGCATGACTGTGTCTTGAATTAGTTGACAGGCTCAAGGTTAATATTGATATGTATGCACCGATGAACATCGTCAAAATATGACTCCAGTCGAACTTGAAAAACGAGGTAGCCTCTAAAGAAAGCCATTTTCAGATCGAGTTGTACACCTACAGTATCCACTTTCAAACTACTGGATACACTATTTGGTGTAGGTACGTAGTATGTTTTCGGTTTATTTTTTATAATTAATTTATAATATTAGAAGAAGTCTTAAATATTATTTGATGCTTTGAACGGTTGGTATAGTTAATCATATTAATGTATAAAGCGTTAAAGCTACTCTGTTTTATACTACATAAGGTAATACTGAATGTAACAACTTTTTTGGATGATAAAATGTTACTAGAATTTTATTAACGTTTTATTTGATATGTACTATATTGTATATGCTTTACGCCGTTAAGCTAATTTAAGCTAAATTCAAAAAGTCACGTAATAAAATGTATTGTACCTATATATTTCAAATTGAAATTCATAATAAAATATGATATGCAGAACCGTCCCTCGTCAGTCTTCGGGCCTTAAGGCTATTATGCGTGGTAAGTAAATAACTTCCGGTGTTTGGCTATCAAGGTACATCAATAAATGATTGCAAATTTACAATATTCTTGGTAGCCAATAGGTTAACCTTTTACTAGAGTAGATGCAATAATTATGAATGCGGAGGTGACGGAACGACAAAAACTAGTTTTGCTTGTTTACAATCTACCATGGAATTCAACTGTGTATCATTAACCCGTAGTTTCGTTTATTAAGCTATGTACTAATGTGTCTCGGAAGCAGACATGCGTTTAATATGGAATCATATGTGTAAGTGTTTATTTCATGTGAAGATATTTTACAATATTAGTTTATACAGTATGTAATGCAAGAAACCCTTAAAAGAGTTACAAAAACGGTGGAGGGCCATCTTTAATTCGTTAATTAAAATAAACGAAACATGGATTCAAGCTCTATACACACGATAGTACCACGGATGACGTATAGGATAAGTATTTTTTTTTTTTTCATTAAAATGCAAATCAAATTATTGAATGTTTGAAATTTAACAAGTACTAAGTAAAAATTACAATTAACTAGCTATAATGAAGTTGAATAAAATATGTATTCATCGTAATTTTAGTAATTAAATAACAGAATAACAATATTCTTTTGTTAATGTAATTGTAATTAATAATGTTCATTGTAATTAAAGTAAAAACTAATGATTTCATAGATTATCGATTCATATAACAATTAAATCTTATCAGAGGTGTAATTTTTTGTGATACAAGTGTTTTGTTGTCCAAAGTGTATACAGCATTTGTATCCCATAGAATATATTATTATTAGTTATCCTTTGTATTTTGCAGATTTGTTACTGAAATTAAATTTGGAAAAATTATTTGCTAAACAATTTAGAGTATAAAATTGTTCTCTTCTTTGAAAAACTGATTTTTGTATTTCCACCGGAGTACTGGGACACTCCTATTAAGTATAACAAAACATCTGAACATCAGAAAATATGTCCTTTGGCTCTATTTGAAAATTCCAAAAATCGAATTTTGAATAATTGCATTACCGAATAAAAAAAAAAATGAGTGAACACGCTTGGTGAAACACTCTATAGGTATATATTATTATTATAATATATTGTTTTCATGATGATTTCACAAAAATTACAAATAATAATTTTAATCAAAATTTGTAGGTACCTACTCGTGTATTATAAATTCACAATAATAAAGTTTTGTATAAGTTAAACAAACTCATAGTAACATTAAAATGAAATATATAATTTAAATATATGATTCAAATTAGAGAGGAAACTACTTTATAAATAAAAAATAATTACCATTTCGTTTGAATTCACGTAGTTGTTTATAAACAATAGATTAGTCCACCAGTTTTTCCGGCAAAACTCAGCTTCGGGGTACACAATAAGTTTCCACAATGGGCCATCACCCATATAAGGCAAAACAAATGCAAATATTACAATAACAGTAATATACGTTGGATAAATCCTAAAAAATAAAATAAATGTTCATTTTATTGTGTTCTTATTTCCGCGAATATTAAATATAAAAAAAAAAAGTGAGAGAGTGTGTGAGCCCACCATTTCACTCTGGGGAGGTAAAACTTCTTTCATATAAGTAATTGGGCCCGTGAAATTATAAGTGAATTAGGGAGAGAGTGAGAAAAATCAATACAATAAAAAAATATGTAGCTTATGATGGAAATTTTTGTTTATTAATGGTTGCTATGTACTTACATAAATAAATAAACAAACGTGTCGTTTCATTTTTCGTTACGATTTTTTTTCCACCTACACCTCAAGAAAGAAGTTTTACTTCAAAAAATTATAATTTTTGAAATCATTTAAAAAATAAAAGTTAAAACCGAAACAAATGTATTGTCTATTGATTCGAAAAATAAGGTTAAATTTAATAATATAAGTTGATCCCCATGCACTTTGTTGCCCGTAAAAAATGGCCACTCTTAAAAAAATTATGATTGTTCATAACTACTTTTAGGTGTTACTCGCTGCAGTAAATTCAACTCAGCCACCCAAGTAGGCAATCCGACTACGTCGGATCGCGGACAAAGTGTAAGTCTGGACAAGGAAATTTATTTTTCAAATTGCGATACATATTTTGTCTCATAAAAATGAACATAATAATATAGAATTAAAATTAACAACAAAATATAAACTATTATGTCTTATACATAATATAGTTATAATTAACATAGGTACCTTACCTATGTTATACATATATAGTAGGTAACTATAATTGTCTATTGATATTGTATTTTCTATTAGCTTATTATTATAATAATATATTCGTTATTTGTTATTAACAGCTCAACAATCAAGGAGGTACCGATAAACGATTATTATTGAAACTGGAATTTATGGGTGCTCAGTAATTGGGCCAAATTTTATATACCTGCTTCGTATGCAAAATTTGTATAATATATTAATTTATTTTATTGTTATTGGGCTACAAATTAATATAGGTATTATACTTTCAAAGTTTTAAAAGGGGCCCGGGGATTGGGCCACAAGTACATTACAGAACCTAGGTATATAATTTTAAATTTTAGATTCTGAGCGGATTACATAATGATGTGTGTTTTTTTTTGTGTTTGTCATTACTTTTTGGGACAGTAAAAACTGCTTGAATTTTCTTCAATAGTATCTTTTTTGATAGGAAAGTGAATCTAGTCGGTACATTTGGGGAGTCAAAAGTAAATATTTCCCAGAAGTTTTGAAAAGTGCCGTGAAAAACAAAAGAAAAATTAAAGAAAAACTGGAATTTTTACGCAAAAATGATTTTTTACTAAATCGATTTTGGTTTTTGGTGTAACTCGTAAATAGTTTGTATATAAAGTACTTTATTCACAATAATATCATCAAATATACTTAGTAATATTATAGGCTGTCTGACCACCTTCGCTCAGAATCGTTTTTCTTATACAATGGCACAATGGTATTATATCATTGAATTCAAATTTAACACCATCCATTTAAGTAACCCACTTATAACCTACTGTAAGTCTGTACAGCAGAGCGACACCAACTTGCACACCATTTTTTAAATTTAAATTTATATATAATATAAGACTAGGTATATTATACAATTAATTAAATTATTATTATTTTTTTTTTCACATAAAAATATATGAATTTATAACATTTATAATGATAATTATATATCATTTAATATTGAATAATTTATTACCTCTTGATATGGCACTCAGACGAGTAAAGTTGCGTGTGCATTACAGCCGCACGATATAAGTAAACTATATAATATTATAATATAATATAATATAATATAATATATTATTATATATTATTTTATTAAAAATATATAAAATGTATAAAAATATTGTGACCCAATTACTGGATTCAATAACACAAAATCGTTTAAAATAGTGGCCCAATCACCGGGTCTACCTGTTAAAAATGTTACATTTTATAGTCGCATAATTCCTGGGAGCTATATTTCTTGTACAAATACCTATACTCATTGTGTATTGGTATACGTTTATTAAATACACTAAAATTACAATATATAATAATATACAAAATACGCTTTATCCTAAACAAAATATAAACTATCATTTAATATAAGGAATTAAACTATGTTAAGATTTTAGCAATTATGATATTTATTCAGTACCTGATTATTCGGTAAATCATTAAAAACATGAACCTCAATGACTTTCCACTCCTTAAACGCTCTTCGATCAGGACGTAAGTAAAAAACCCACTTATTATAAAAAATATCTCAACTGCAACCGGAGACTTGAGAAACGACCACTCAAAATCTGTAAAAATCTGTAAAATAAAAACAGTCAAATGAAATAAAAAATAATAACAATATGAAAAAAAAAATTGCATAATTTGCATACGTGTTCCGAGAGCTCAGGATCAAATGATGGGATTCCTAAGGTTAGTGCAACTCTATGACCAATTATCACAGATATTATTCCCAACGTCTTCAGCCCATTGGTTACGGTAAAGTCTTTAGTTTTTGGGTCTTCTACTAAGTTTCTCATATTTGTTATCATCGAGTACGAACTTAAACACTTACCTAAAACATCGGCGAAGTCAATATTTAACGATGCCAATTTTATTACATTTTACGATATCATTATGTTTGTTTTTGACCATTATATTCACCGCCGTCCAATCTTACCGACAAAAGTAGGTTTCCCGAGTTTATTTGCAAATAATTCGTACACCGTGCCGGCGATCACCAATGCAATGCCCACGACGAATATTCCACTATGGCACATAAAAAAATGTCAGCCGTCAGTGGTCGGTTAAAATAATATCTTCGGTCAAATTAACTCCAACAAAAATATCCGTTACACAATAATAATATAATATCTCAAATACGGATTATAGTATAATAATAAATTAGGGCAAACGTACAAAGTGTTTAAATCACCTACAACGCTAGTAAGTTAACTGCGCTATGATGATATAACAAGTCATGTATGCTCAAGAAATTACCAAACTCAAAGTTTACGATATCAAGTTGTCTAGGTACTTATATTGTAGTATACAAGTACACAGGTACGTAAATAATATAATATTATAGGGGTGTGGACGATATGTTTCCAGAGTTAATTTGACCGGGAGGTGCGTGAACCGCGTATACAGGTGTTAATCGTCGTGATGTGAAGAGCCACCTGTTGGTTGGGGCATATAGTTTTCGATGTACTCACTAGACGATCGAAACCGTATTTGTGTACTCCAACGCGGTGTCCTTAGACGTGTACATCAACGGCGGAACTGCGACTTTCACGCTGATGTTGCTCACACGGAAAGCTGGTATCAACACCCTGTCGACGGACGACCTTATGTCTTCGTTGGTACACGAGTCGGGAAAACACAACGCCCACAACAGGTTTCCCGGCACTCCTGCCGCGGCGTCTCTCTGAAATCGATTGTTTAAATTTGAAAACACGACTTTCCGTTGCATTGCCGGTTGTCACGACGTATAGATCATAATATAGTGTCTTATAATCAGTGGCGTATTTACGGGGGGGGTCCATGGGGTCCGGACCCCCCCCCCCCATTGACTCGTGTCTCGTACATGTTAAATGTTGTGCAGTTTTTACATGATTAAAAAAGAAATTTTATCATACGATTTTACGGATTTTTTAAAAAATTTTCGAAGCTATAGTTATATCAACATTTTCAATAAATATCGTGATTATTTTTATCAGTTGGGTACCGAAAATGGTTGAAAAATACCAAATTCATTTTTTAATTCAAATTTTTTGTAGTTTTGTACATTGCCAGTATCTACAACCACTCCAGAGAGATCTTTTTCAACCTTTTTAAGGTTGAAAAGCTATCTAAGATCAACTATAAATGAAGTAGGTACCTATTAAGGAAATATTTGTATAAAAGTTATAATATATAACTATATATTCGATTCTGAGGGATCTATTGGTTCTACAATGGTGTTTATTTTTTTTTCCTGTAAACAAAATTTCTTCCAGAAGGATGCTTCGATTTCAACATGTATAGACATATTATAGTAACTTATCTTTTAGAAAATTGGATCAAGGTAGTACTTTAGAGAGGTCATTTTTCGATTTTCTCAATAGTTATTTAATGCCACTGTAAAAACCACCAAAAAATTACGAAAAACCGCTAAAAATGGGATTTTAATTTCTAACACTTTATCTATCACCATAGAAAAAAATAAAAGTATTTCATTATTAATTCAACTTACAGGCTATAATAAATAATAACAATATAAAATATCCAGCCTGACAAACCGTCTTCGCTCAGAATCGTTTTTCTTATGCAATGATATTATGATATTATATCATTGAGTTCAAGTTTAATACAATCCATTATACATTGACCCACTTGTAACCTACTGTACAGCAGCAGAGTGACATCCACTTACCCGCTTTTTTTTAAATTTGTTTTGTACATATTATTATTTAACAATTAAAAACTCGACAATTTTATATCGTCTTATAAATATGGTATATTTTATTTAATAAAGAGTGAATGGGTGGTGTGGGGGGCGGCTTCGTCCCCCGTGGCTCTGTGTTCTGAAAATTATCCGGACCCTCCCCATGACAAATTCCTAAATACGCCACTGCTTATAATATTATTATTATCGAATATTACTTTCGATCGTTCCCGATCCGCTTCGACTATGTCGAGTTGGTTGAGCGGTTCGGGAGGTTCGTCATCGTCTGCAGAAGGAAGGTGAAACCGTACGTTTGCTATGGCGTACGCTCCTTGAATCCCGAGACGTTTTGATGAGACGCGCATGCATTGGTCAAAGTATCCCAATTCGTTGACGTCGCCGGATAAAATGGACCCAGGATATTTTGACGAAGAGGTGTACACTGTACAAAAATTCAAAGTCATTAAGGTTATTTTTTCTCATACTCTATAGTGCGGTACACGGTTATAACTTACTTTTAACAATGTAATGTAATAAATTATAATAATTTTTATTTATAAAACATAAAAATAGGCCTCACAATGATCGGTTATGGTCGTATCGTATAACTCATAGATAATATAAATATAAAAACAATTATATAATAGTATTCTTGAACGTTTATGTACTAATATTATCCTTATTAAGAGGTATATTAAGTATATGCAGTTATATTTAGTATAATTGAATGGATCAATATGTAGTTAAATTGTTTTTATTAACAAAATTATACATTTTGGGATAGGTTAATAGGTAGGTACCTAATTTACTACCGTAACTAATATTTAAATTTACTTGGAGGTAATATTTGATTTAGATCAATATATTATTACCTACGTCATATACATACACATTTTGAATTAAGAAATATTCATTGTCATGAATGTTAAAGTTAAATTGTCTATAGGTACGTTATCCACAATATTAAAAATTACAAGGTATGTATAGTTAATACTACGATTAGACCAATGAATAATGGACATTGTAATTATAAGTCATTATGACTAAACAATTATTATTTAATAATTATTTTCACAATACGTTATGAAAAAAAATAGATACATAATTGTTTATGACGAAATAATATTGTATGATGGTGAATAATGTAGGTAAATTACCTGTATTAAACTTATATCGGCTATAATATTTTGTCTAGCCGTATTCCTAATACCTACATGGCCATGTAGGTATTCCTAATACCTACATGGCCATGTTAGAATAAAAATAAATGTTTTGAGCACAAAAATGTTTTTAATATTATTAAAACCAAAGTGTGAAATGTCATTATCCACTAGATATTGACTCTTTGAGGTTAATACAATAAAATAATAATTTGTGTTGTAGTAGTTGCAAATTAGAAACTGTTAAAAATATGCTACAAAATACAATCAAAAACAAAAACCTCATAGAATGGTCAAAACTTCTGTTTTAAATTTCTGGCCGGAGATATCACAATGCATTGTATTCATTAAAAAGCATAAAAACACATCACTTAGCATCAAAATGGGTCAACAACAAATTAAGAAAAAAAATATGATCAAAATGTTTGGAATAATCCTAGATTCTAGATTAGCAAACCACATAAACAACCTAAAAAATTAAAAGTTTAAACAAAATGTGCTTTCACATAGTTCACGGGGAACCAAAACAAATGCGCTATTACAAATATAATATAAATATCTAATCATGTATTTTTACCATATTTTTTTTTTTGGATTGATGGTGAGGTTTTGTTATAAATAATTTACTTTGGCATATTCTTATGAAAATATTAAAACGAAATACTTTGGGGAATCAGTGAGAGTTGGGGGAAGGATGGGCAGAACCGTACTTTTAACTTCTAAGCATTGTAGAACTTACAACATTTTAAGAATATGAAATTGGATTGAGTAACTAAATTTAAAATATTGTCATAGCCTCAATAATATTTATGCATTTTTAAAAAGTCTTAACGTTAACTCAAAAAAAATCCAAATTTTTAAAGTACTTAATTAGTAGGTATACGATTAGTCTTGGGGAAAACCCGTATAGATGGTAATTGGTAGTTATGAGTGGAAATAGTCTACCAAAATTAGCGCCCCCCCCCCCCTCCGGGTTATCACTTCGGGTTCTAATAAAGGGGGGTGTTGGATGAGTTCATACTTAAGCTATAGCTTACATACAACGGTGGGGACAACAATTAAATAACATAACGGGTGACCTAACCTGCCCTTAAAGGCCCTTTTAATATCAAAAAGTGTTTTAGTATATTTCAAATTCAAATAATTTTGAAGTTTGTTTCCTCGAAATTCTAATATTTCCTCATAAAAAATGTAATACAGTTTTTGCCCCGAAATAGGTGGTTTCAAAGTAAGGGTAATTAAGTAAAAAGTATAAACAATATTTTTCCAAATTATATTATTCAGCAATCAGTACTTACTTCCTCCTTCCTTTTTTTTTATCATTTATTTATTTATTTATCATTTATTTTGAATAGTAATATTTCTGTGGTAATATAATATGAAAAATAGTGATTACACATATTTTGTGATAATAGGAATTTGTGAGGGAATTTATTACAAATTAGATTAATAGTTATATTCTATAACAATGAACTATATTGTCTTGGAATAAACATCAATATTTTTTTTAATTCTTGACTCAATGTTCTGAAAACCTTTCTTGCCTCTTGAACGGAACCACCCCGCCATCCCCTACCCACAACATTCAAAATATCTGTGGCCACGTACGAAACCAAATATTATTTTATTGAATTATATAAACTTCATAATTTGATTTAATTTAACTTATTTGTCTCTAAATCATCACACATAGTTTTGTATTTTTCTCACGCGTGTAGTTTACTAAGTGTTTCTATTTTGATATACACAATGCCAATTATGTACCTAATTTAAGTTTACACTATATTTTTCACAAAAAAGGAACTATTTAAAAATGGCAGAGGTAATTCAAATTGCATTTATCATCACTTTTAAGATTATCTAGTATATTCATTATTCGTGTTTACTTAATTATCAATGTGTCCTCAATGTGTCATCAATCGTCATCCATCTGACGATTAATAAATAAACAAAATAACTAATTTATATTTTATTTGGAAATTCGCCTTAAATTTATTTGTATAGGTAACAAATATAGCGTTACAAATGCATCAGTGATTGCCGATTGGCTTAATGAAGTAGACCAATAATTATTATTTATCGGGTTCCGAATAAGAAAAATAACTAATTTAATGTCATTTATAAATCAATGAATTTTATAAATCACATCATTAAAAAAATACATATTTACGACACAGATACATAAAATAAATAACTGTTTTTATAAGTTCAAAATTATTATTTCTAAAATAGTGTGTTGAATAGATAATTTAGGGAACTTATTGTATGACAAAATTATTTTTAGTTAAAATCTTAAAGTTATGTAAGAAATTATATAAGCACTTCTAAATATTAAAAAAAAATAGTTTGGAAGTAAAATAATACAAACATCGAATTTTGAACGGTAGTCAATTAGCTATACATATTTAAAATTTAGATGATTGGAATAGTTGACCAACAATTTGCGAGGTAACCCAACGTCAATTCACTTCTAAACTTTAAACACTTACAACTAACTATAGTTATTCGATCTAAACTTGATGTTTATAAATTGAAATTCTCAACAGTAGAACATTCTGCTTCGGAATATGAAAAAAGGTATGTCGTATTTTGAAAAAGTTTAAAGCATAAACAATTACAATGAAAATATAATTATACAATTCAATCACGCGACAAAGGAATAAACATAACATTCATTTGGATACCGGGTCACAGGAATATAGAAGGCAAAACGACAAAGCGGACCAACGAGTCACACGCCAAAAGGATATTACAACTAATCAAAACATCACTTCTTCAGATCACAACTTAGGTAGGTATATGGACATAAACAAAAATCAAGTTCGAGACACTATTAAAATCGAATGGAAAACAAACTGGCATCAAAATAAATCCAAATTAAGGTAAGTAAAAAACACAATACTTGATTGGCAAACACTGAATTAAAAAGAAAATAAAAATCAATACTTAGGCAATAGACTAAGAATCGGACACAGCAGTCCAACGGTGAGGTCAAAGGAAGATCCACTTATATGCGTAACCTCCGGAGTAACAGTAAAGGTCAAATGCACTCATTGACGGAATGTAGCAAGTACAAAATATAAGAGCTTGAAGAATGCAAAATGCCCAATACCTTAAACGCAGCTTTAGAATCCAAGCCTGAAAACAACCTAAACTTATTATTATTTTTGAGTAAATTTAAACTAAACAATGTAATTAAAAAAAAAAATAACAAGATAAGTTAATGAATAATTTGTACACATATATTATTACATAATAAGTACATAATTATTGTAAACAACTAATGGCCTATAAATCCGAAGGTTATCAATTATATAATAGTAAAAAAAAAAAAACGATTATTATTATTATAATTAATACAATGATTTTCAAAAATGTGATTTTAAATTATAATAAAATTGTTTTCCAAAAACATTAAGAAGCCTCGCTATTAAATTATAAGGGGCAACATTTAGGCTATTTCCAATCTCGACTTAGCCACCCAGGATCTATGTGTTGACTTACTGTTAGTCGTAAATGTTTATTAATGTTAGTGAAATTCAATGTGGGTACCACTCTCGTACACCCATATGCACATCTCTATAAATCGATAACAATTATAATATATAAATTATTTGTATATTATGTACAATTTACCATACGAATTTTACAACAACTTACTGATTGTTTTGACAAAGTTAAAGTTAGTTTACGATGTCTGATTTTTATTCTGAAAAAAATATTTGAATTTGGCAGAAAAAATGTCTGCAGATCGTACGAAACACTTTCTGTTTTTAATTTTAATTATTCTTTGAAAAACGTTCTCGTATTTTCAAGTTTTCAATTACAGCACGCTCACAATAATAAACAATTTAATTTTTACCAAGTGTTTATTCAATATATAGACAATTTACTGTCGAGTTCAAATTTTTTCCAGAATCCATATAGGAAAATGTAAATTAACTTTAATTGATCTCAACTTAATGTCCTTTGACTTTTGAGCTAAAATTGACGGCTCCTTAATACTCTTTTTGATAAAATTATTGTTTATCTTTAAAACAATCACGTTGAATGTGAATATGAATAGTTCAAGGACAAAATAAATAGAATATAGGCTGAAGAAAATAGGTTTTTTCTCTGTCCCTAAGGTATTAAAAATATAATTTTTTAAAACCAATACAGTTTTTTCTCTGTTAAGAACTTCAAAAAGGTTCTTAAGAAATTGTGGTAGGTATATACAATATAGATAAATAAGTGTAAAAATCACTTTGACGTTAAGTATTTCCAGCTTGCCTCGTCATTG